CTCTTTATTCTTTATTTTTCGAAAACAAAACGTAACATCTCTAGCAGAGACAATCACATATCGTATATCAATAACATCTCGTAATAATAAATAAACTAGTTTATTGTTTATTATCTAGAAATGGTCTTAATGAATCAACTGGATATAATGGACAGCAAGAAGCAGTTCAAGAAAATCAACAACAAATAAAACAAATAACAACTGAAGGAAGTAATTAAGTTAAATTAAATAAATAAATAAATAACAATTAATGCAACTTTAAATTTATGTTTAGCATCATATGCAGGCGTTGCTAAATTACATCCAACAACTGGTTTAACATCGAATGTAATTTCAACTGGTTCAGTTTCAATGCCTCCACCACAACCAACAAATACAACTCGTTCAACTAATGTTAAATCAGCATCGAATCGAATAAATAATCAACAACGAGGTCAAAATAATTATTATCCATCAAATAATCGTGCTAATCAATGGCCTGGTAATAATCAACAAGATCCAAGTCCAGGTCGTCGTCCAGGTTCTAATATGGCAACAGTATCAAATGAACAACAAGTATTTGTTGGATCATTACCATTAGGATTTACACGAGAAAATTTAATTGAATGTTTTTCACAATTTGGTCATGTTCGAGAAGCAAAAATTCAAATGCCAGTACATGATAATAAAAAAGTTTGTTGAATTGAAATCAAAATGAAAATATTTTTCACAGAAATTTATTTTATGTTTTTTATTATCTTATAGAATTTTGGTTTTGTTTGTTTTGATGATCCAGAAGTTGCATCAGAAGTTGTTAAAATGGAACACATCATGTATAATAACATTCGTTTAAATGTTGAACCAAAAACACAAAGAGGTTATCAAGGTAATGCTAATAATGGACCACAAGGTGGTGCACGAAATAATAATTATCAAACAAGAGGTGGTGGAGGAGGCGTTAATCGTGGTGGAAATCGTGGAGCATTTCGTGGTAATGCAAATAATCAACGACGTGGTGGTGGTGGTGGTGGTCAACATCGTAATAATTCACCATCATTTACAGGACGAGATGAGAATAATAAAGCTCAAAAACAACAACAACAACAACCACAACAACAGCAGTAATAAATGAAGACTAGCGGATGATTTTTTTTCTTTCTCTATCTCTTACGCGACGTTAAACTTTGATTCGAGCAGTTGCAACGATGAATAAATGTGTTTTCTTTTTTTGCTTGCTTTTTTTTTCCTTATTGTTTTTTACGAATTTGATATTATATGATGCGACAACACCGTATAAAGAAAACAAAATTATTGTCTTTCAAAAATCATCCACTGCTTCTGTTTTTTTTCTTTTTCTTTGCTTGTTTGTCTTCTTTATTGAAAATGCTGTCAGTTTCTTTATTCGTTTTTTTTTTTGTACACATTAAAACATACGCACCAGGACGATACCGACAAGACAAATGGATGAGAACAACATATAGATAAGTGTGAATAAAATGATGAACGTAAAAAGAAGCATATATATATATATCATTATTCATTTGTATGTTTGAACAATCAAAAGAAAAAGTTATAAACAGTTTTTTTTTTTAACGTTTGATTATCATGACTAGTTTTGATGTTTTAATAAAACAGAATGTCATAAAAGTCATGATTACTTAATAAACTCATATAACTCAGCAATCAATCGAGTTTTATTAAAATTTTTTCTTTTCAAAATAGGAGACTATAAAGTTCATTAGCAATATAGAAAAAGGATACAACTTTTGTTTACAATTTCTGCAAAGTAAAAATATGAAACATGATGTAACTGCTCTTACGAGTTAGAGGGATATTGTCGAAAATGTAGTAAGCAAATAATTCATTTGTTATCACGCCATGTTATTTATATATGGTCTGTGGTCGTATATCAACGTCTATCATACGGCGAGGGTAGATACAGTGTTGCTTAGGTGTCTGTAACGAATCGTTTCTAACATGCCTGTCTATTTCTTCTGTTTTTGCTTGTGACATTTCCATGGTAATGTCTGTCGCGATTTGTGATGAGAAGAGAGATATGCAAACTTCTATGCTATATATTTTCAGAATTCCTTTTAGATCGTGTTGTACAGAAAGTAGGCTTTTTTCTATTTCCTTCATTATTGAGGACTTCAAAACATGCAGATCTTTGATTATTGCTTTTTAATCGTTTGTCTGACATATTTTAAGACGATTGAGTTATTGATGAATTTCTTCACAGTAAGTTATTTGTGACTCTTCGAATACTTTAATAAGCGTAAAAAAGAATTGGCTAGACCATTTTATAGGTCATTTTGACATTTTTGCTTTCTTTTGATAAGAATAAATCAAAACAAATATTTGTAAAGTTATGGTAAAAAATTTAAATGATTTAAAGTTTATAATAACAATCAAAATTCAAGTAAACATTGGAAATGAAAACAGTACATGTTGTTTTTGGTATCAAAACAGTTTAATTTTTAATTGTGCATCAAATAAGTATTATTCGAAGTGATACAATGCTTGTTATTTGATAATTTGTCGATTATTACAGTTCAACAGACTAGCTCAATTTTCAAAGGATTTTTTTCTTCTTTGAGCTTTTATCAAGTTCACTAGGTACACAACTTTTATATTTTCACTGTAAAACAAAACGATTTCCTTTAAAGTTACGGACAAGTCGTATAACTTGTAAACTTGATAAAAATTCACTGGAGAAAAGAATTCTTTTGATGTTATGCTAATCTATTAAACTCTATTAGTTGACAAAAATATGAGCTTAGAATATGGTATTAACTTAGATGTTCTTAAACAAAAATCGACTTGAGAAACTAATATTCTTGGTATAAGTTAATAATCTTTTTCGAGCAACGTTATTTTCCATTCGTTGTCTATTTGATCAGCAAAAACAGTCTAATATAAAAAAAAAAAAAGAATTGTTGTAAATAAAGACGATTGAATAATCATATTAAATGTAAAGTTAATAAAAAAAATTAAAGTACTTTATGATCAGACCTAGATACTTGTTTAAAAACATTAATATTTGAAAAAAGTACTTAACTAAATTACTAATCATATTAATTTATCTTAGAAAGATATTAGTAAGAAAGTCTTAAAGAGACATGGCTGATAGTCCTTCATCAACAATTTCCCAATAGAATCAAAACATAATCGTAGCTATCTTAATGAGAAAACTCCTACTAAAACATTAACATATCTTATGTCATTTTTTGTTGCTATTTATTCTATTGAATAATCTCTTTTACAAATTAATTTTTCTGTATAACAAGCAAATACATTTATCTTAGAGCTAAACAAGTCAAGTTAAACCATGTCTGACTTGCCGAACTCTGATTTATCTTAGATAATGTACTTCTTTATTGATTAAATCAGGTGTCTCATAATAAACGAAGCATATCGATTATCTACGAAACACATTATGAGACATTTCGGAATGAGTACATGAATCACTTCACATAAAATGAAACACGTCCACCTTTTATTTGAATTCGATTCTTTACAAGTTTTTTTTTTCTAAATAAGTTCTTTTAGCATAGACATATGTAAAAATGTTCGCTCTTCCAGTTGACTATTAATTAAAAACTACCAATGATGATATTTTCAGAAAGATCAGACACACAAAAAACATCATCTTGAATCTAAACATGTTTAGAAAAAAAGACTTTGTATAGAGATTTTGTGGCCTCAGAAGTTGTCTACAGAATGTAATATTTAGTTTTTGCCTCACTACTGAGTTTTTTAAAATTAAAATGCATGAAATGAAAATCGATGTCGTTTATCATCAACGTTTTTACTAATAACTCCTCTAAGCAAAGGTCTCTAGCTTGGATTTTTTCAGGATATAACATTTTCAGTCTATACATATTGACATTGAATAAGAAGTATCGGAAATTTCTTATGTAACTAAAACTATATAGTTTAATTTTATATAAATTAGGAATTCAATTGAAGATTAAATCAAAAGAAAAGTTTATCATTAAAATATTATCTTATTAGAAAATTTATCTTATCGAATATTTTGAGAACAAATAAAATAATTCGAGACAAATATTATCAAAATTTAATATGACAGATCATCCGAAACAGTGACATTCCTTTTATTGTGAATGCAATGAAAATAACAACAACAAAAAATCAAGGAGAAAAATCCATAACTCTATGCTTGTTCTATTCATCGATGAGTATTAGAAGTATGAAAAAATTATGGTGTTATTTAAAAAAGAAGTAAATATAAAATTTCACGATAATATCAATCAATTATTATCCAATATAGATAAATTTGAGTTTCTAACGATGAAAAATTATTTTACTCAGTTTTTTTTTTGTGTAAATTATTAGTAAGACTAAAATAGATCGAAATCTACTCTTTTATTCGACGAACTTGATAAAATTCAAAAAAAAAAAAAATCGTTGTGATTATAATAACAGCAATATGGATTCTCTGCTGAAAAGACATATTATCAATTTGAGATGAAGCCACAGAAATTCTAATCTATAGTGAGACAACACACAAATACTGCTTGAATTCAACGGAATCGAAAATTTCATAATCTAAGAATGTCTCTAATAAATATAATTTCTGAAGCAAAAACGACGTTCAACAATTGATGATGTAAAACCTAAAATCATTTAATATTCCATCTAAAAACACCGAATAAATAAAGATAAATTTTGTATTTATATGTATATATATATATACTTATGTATATATGCGTGTATGTGTGTGTGTACTATATTAATTTTATAATAATTTCTATAGATTTTTTTCTGGAAATGACAATGACGACGTGAAGACAAACGATTATGAATGAACCGAAAGAGAAAAGCACACACACACATCATGTACAGGCAAAAAAAGAAGAATAATGACAATTACAATGTAAAAAAAAAAACGAAATTTGAATCGATTTGAGAACGAGAATAAGTTCATCATGTCTTCAATGATCTTTTCCCTATCGATATTATTGAAGAAAAAAAAAACGAAAAGAAGAAAAATTTTCTTTTTAACATTGACATTTTGAATCACCACCTTGTCCATTACCATCTAAACCAGTTGTACCATTTGCTGTACGTGATGTTGGAGTTGGTTTAGGTTGTACACCTGATTCAGCTGCATTTAAATCAAGTGAACCATCTTGGATATTTTGATAAATTTTTCTTGCTGTTTCAATAAATGCATCTTCAACATGATCTCCTGTTTTAGCTGATGTTTCAAGAAATAATAAATCATTTTCATCAGCAAATCGTTTAGCTTCATCATAGGTTACTTCACGTTGACCATCTAAATCACCTTTATTACCTAAAAAAAGAACAAAATTAAATATTCTTTAGGTTTTGTAGTTTTTTTTTAATACCAATAAGAAAAATAACTGTATTTGGATTGGTTAGACTTCTTGCATCCGTAAGCCATCCGCTTAAATGATTATAAGTAGCACGTCGAGTTATATCATAAACCATTAAAGCGCCAGCCGCTCCACGATAATACGAACCTTGACAAAAACAAAAATAATGACAATAATAATAATAATAAAACAATAATAAATTACGTGTTACTGCACGAAAACGTTCTTGACCAGCAGTATCCCTAAAATTCAAAACATAAAATAATTTTTTGTATTATATTTATATTTATTTACCATATTTGTAGTTTGATTTTTTGTCCGTTAACTTCAATAATACGTGTACCGAATTCCACACCAATTGTATGTGGACAATCAGCCATAAACTATTTCGAAAAAAGAAAAACAAGTTAATAAACTATTTTAAATCAATGTATTTAACAAAAAGAAAACAAACAAACTTTTTTTTCTGTAAATTGATGAAGTAGACAACTTTTTCCAACACCCATATCACCGATAATAATATATTTAAAAATATATGAATAATTATACGGGCCCTGATTCGCCATGGCACCGTGTTATATTTAACTATTTGTTTTATAATAACAAGAATATTAAAAAAAAGAAGACAAATATGTATCTAGAAAGAATGAGAAAAAAATGAAAGAGTAAAGAGATAAACAATTCATTTAGTCCAGTCATATACCCGTCACTCTATCTATCCGTCATTGGACATAACTAAATGCCACTATAATGACGATCGAAGATCAGCTGATTGTAAATATATATTGTGACATCTATTAAATAATGATTTGTTAAAGAAAGTAACCAGAAATAACCACACTATGGAAAAACTAAATGTATTATTTCAGAATATATTTTTAGAAAGAAAATGTCGCTTTTGTATTTCATTCTTGTTATTATCATAATGACCAGGCATATAAGTATGAAGCAAGAAAGCACATGAAGAATTCATAATTTCTTATCATCGTTGATTCTTCATGTGTTTACTGATGATACTTGAATATGCAGTTTTACTAAGGACATTCGTTAACAAAATAAAGACTTATATTTGTTTTTATCTTCATTTATCTCTCAAATATTATCGATCTTTCAATCTTTATTTACGATTAATCTATATCTATCTATCTATCTATCTATTAATACGTATTTATTCAGTTTAGATGAATCGTAGTCATTATTTTTAGTTAGATTATTTTGTGAGAACTATTGATTGATATGAACTTTGAATTGACTTACTAAGAGAGAAATTTTAAAACATTGTCAATCATAAGTATAATCAAATATTCTCTTCTGTCTTATGTTAGACAAAAACACTATGACAGCTATTCATTGTTATTGAAGTGGAATTGACAAGTGTATTCATTCATATGAAATGCCTTATGGCAACATACTTTTTATAGTCAGTATCAGTTTACAAGTCCTTCAGTATACAGACTCATTGTCATTGACGTCTCTAGGTAATTAGAGAATTGAAGGATGCAGAAAAATTTTCTAATTACCTACATACGTATTGAACAAAGATACTTCTCATAGATTGCTGAGAATTTTGAAACGTTTGGCATATGTAAAATTTAAATTTTTTTTTTCAAAAATTTTAGTCGGTTGTATGGTTACAAGGCCATACACTTCAACACTGGCTTTATGACTAGAGCCCCTTGGATCCAGACACAATCCGACGGGCACTATTTATGATTCGATCTAAGATGAAGTAGTTCTTTTAAATGAATGTCAATAGATCCCGATCTAACGATTATTATGAATCTGTTGAAAAGATTTGCTTGAGTTAAAATAAATTATTCTCCATTTGTACATAAATTTCAAGATAATTAGACTAAATTCAAATTGTTTCTATACAGATAACATACGCATCGAAGAATTTATGTGTTATTCTTGTAGAAAAAGCAATTTATCATACTATCATTTCTTCCTTTATGTTAGTACAACTGTTAGTATCATGCATTTTATACTTACAATTTTTTGTCGTATTCAAATCACGTTATAAGCCAAATATTAAAAAAATTCTCATATTGATCGATTTTTTTGCTTACGAGAGAATATAGAAGTTTGTATGAAGAACTGACATTGAGCGCCCTCTTTTCCTGCATTTTCGCTCTGAATTAAAGGCAGAATGTATTTTAATGCAATGGCGATCTTCGTTTAATATTACGTCAAATTGTACATATTTTCTTGGATTGTTTCATCATCCTATATAGATAGCTGATGAAGGATTTCATTCGATGCAATATAAAGATAGTTCAATTTCGTAATTACACTATATTATTTTTAGATCATTGATCTAAACGACATTTCAAAAAAAGAAACTTAATTAAAATAAAACAAACAAACGTCAATAGAATATATTCAATAATCATGCTTGCATACGAAACATCTGGCCAACCTCATTTATCGAAACAATCAATAACTGATATGGTTTATATAATATAAAATATAAAAATATTTTCTAAAAATTTTCTAAATTTTTATTATCTAGAATCCTAGTCAATTATCACCATTGACACCTGAAGTTATTAGTCGACAAGCAACAATTAATATTGGTACAATTGGTCATGTCGCACATGGTAAATCAACAGTTGTTAAATCTTTATCTGGTGTATTAACAGTTCGATTTAAAAATGAAAAAGAACGTAATATTACAATTAAATTAGGTTATGCTAATGCTAAGGTACATATATAAGTTAAAATTTATTTTCTTTAATAAATATTTTTTTGCTTTTTAAATTTTCTCTAATCATAAAATAAGATTTTTGAATGTGACAATGAAAAATGTCCACGACCAGAACGTTTTCGTTCAGCTGGTTCAAGTAAAGAAGATGTCTTTCCATGTGATCGACCTGGATGTGGTGGTCAATTTCGTCTTGTTCGACATGTATCTTTTGTTGATTGTCCTGGTCACGATATTCTGATGGCAACTATGTTAAACGGTGCCGCTGTTATGGATGCTGCTCTTTTACTTATTGGTAAATAATTTCTTCTATGAAAATAAATGAAGAAATTTCATTTATCTCTTTTAGCTGCAAATGAAACTTGTCCACAACCACAAACATCTGAACATTTAGCAGCTATTGGTATAATGAAATTAAATTCAATATTGGTATTACAAAATAAAATTGATCTTGTTAAAGAAGTTCAAGCAAAAGAACAATATCAACAAATTATTGATTTTGTTAAAGGTTTGAATTTTGTTTTCTATTCAGTTATTAAAGAAAAAATTAATTCTTTAGGCACAAATGCTGAAGGTGCCCCAATTATTCCAATTAGTGCACAACTTAAATATAATATTGAAGTTATTTGCGAATATATTACAAGAAAAATTCCTGTACCATTACGTGATTTTACATCAAAACCAAGATTAATTGGTGAGAAAAAAGACAAGGTGTTTTTTTTTTTGTTTACATTAGTCTCCAATCTAAGATTTACTTGGATAAGTCCAGACAAGTTTTTAGATTAACCCAGGCCAATGACATATTAGTGACTAACTATATTGTATTCTATGCAGAGATGTTGATTCAGTCTAAAGAATATATTGAATAAAAAAATGTAGATAAAATTGAATCGTCAGTTAATGGAGAAATAACTACAATAAAAATTAGACTTGAGCATAAATACGAATGTTTAATGAAACTCTTCTAATTGAGCATGGAGCTTTATATTAGAGCAAGTTGTAATTACTTTTCCTTTTTTTTTTTGAAACTTCGGTCTGCTACACTTTTCGCTAGTTGATAATGAATATAGTTTTCGTAACATTTCAATAGATTAACAATGTGATTGTCAACATTCAATTATTGTTTACGAGTGAGATCATCTAAGCATCCATTCCATGGGGTAAATATTCATTTTTCGCATACCATCATGATCCTTGCGTGGTACTATATATGATTAAATCACATGTCTACAAATTGAGATTTGTGGAAAGTGAAATAGAAATCACGCTTCTGACAAACGTGCGATAAAAAGCTCGTTTATGCTAAAACAAGCTTTGAAAAAAGTTAATTTATATCTCGACTGTGAGACTGGGATGAAGAGATCAAGTACATCCATATCTACATCCTTCGTTGATTTTTTTAAAGTGCTTGTTGTTTATGGTTAGATATTATGTTTTTTATATAAAATAAAAAAATTTATGTGCCATAGCTAATTTTTGATTTGATGCAATATAACAGTTGATTCGAGATTGAACGAGTCCAAAGTGAGACGTTAGATTGGCATCGATGTATCTGAGAGATTGGAGTTTATCTTATATTTAAAGAAAAGAAAAGACATAATTATTGTATTTCTTTTAGTTATTCGTTCGTTCGATGTTAATAAGCCCGGTGCCGAAGTTGATGATTTGAAAGGTGGAGTAGCTGGTGGTAGTATTTTGAAAGGTGTTCTTAAAGTATGAATCTTTTTTTTTTTTTTTCGTTTTTTGGAATGAAAATCTATTTTAACAAAAACAAAAATCATTATTAGGTTGGTCAAGAAATTGAAGTTCGACCTGGTATTGTATCAAAAGATAATGAAGGTCGTCTTCAATGTCGTCCACTTCTTTCAAAAATTGTATCACTCTATGCTGAACAGAACGATCTTGCTTATGCTGTACCGGGTGGACTTATTGGTGTTGGAACAAAAATTGATCCAACTTTATGTCGTGCCGATCGTCTTGTTGGTCAAGTGCTTGGTGAAGTTGGTGCATTACCAGAAATTTATACTGAAATTCAAATAACTTATTTTCTTCTTCGACGTCTTGTTGGTGTACGAACTGAAGGCGATAAAAAAGGTGCTAAGGTTCGTTTGAAGTTTTAGTTTAGGAAAATTTCGATTTTCTTATTTGTTTATATTTTTTCTTTTAGGTTGCTAAATTAACTAAAAATGAAATGTTAATGGTTAATATCGGATCATTAAGTACTGGTGGTCGTGTCTTAGCTATAAAAGATGATTTAGCTAAAATACAATTAACTAATCCAGTGTGTACTGAAGTATCTGAAAAGATTGCTTTAAGTCGTCGTGTTGATAAGAACTTTCGTTTAATTGGTTGGGGTGAAATACGACGTGGAACAGTGATTAAACCACAAGTAGAAATACCAACAACACGAACGATTATTCACAATTAAATCAACGTTCATTATTATTGTTCGTCTTTTGAATGCTTGTAGGCAATGGAGTATATAACGTTACGATTTTTTTTTAAACAAAAACAAAAAAAAAACAAAACAAAATAGCGAGCTATCGCTCGATAACATCGTTAATTAAACAAGAGTTCTTCTTTTTTTCAAGCTAAATATGAGTTCGAAAATTTTTTATTTTTCAATGCAAGGAAAATCAGAAATAAGAAGATTATTATTGTTATTTATAGTAGAAAATTTTCTTTTCTCTTATTTTATTAAGTGAAAAGGTTTCAAGATGATAAGCGATTATTAATCATATTTATATAATTTTAAAAGAACCAAGTGTCACCTATTTAGTATAAACTATATACTGTTACAAGGTAATTTAATATTAAAAACATGATCTCAATTTAAAACAAAAAAAGTTAATTCTTATGATTCTCTTAAATGTAATGAAGATTACGAATTTTTTCTTGACAATTCTTAAGAGAAAGATTGAAAAATTGATACCTAGTGTGCTTTCTCAAATTTTTATGTGTCAATATCAAAAGATTTGTAACGAATGGTCGTACCTTCCTTTCCGCAGACCATAAGGCTTTCTATTAATGTCCACCTCGGATCACAAAAACTTGACCCATATCAGACATTGTCTTCTATTCTGGGCTAATTTTTGCCTCGAAACTCAAGAACTTTTGTAAGAGTCTCATTACTTTTACATCATATATTATTTCTGAAACAAAAATAAATTGCATGGATAATATTTCTTTATTTGATAAAATGAATGAAAGAAAAAAAAAAGAATATATTTAATTGTTTTTCTTTTAAATAAGTGTTCAATATTGATAAGGAAAACCTTGATATTGTGGTGGATGAGATTGATCTATGTCTAGCATAGGAATTTTTCCGTTACGAAATGCTTCAAAAAAAAGTTGATGATCACGACGAACTCTTTTACCATATATCTAAAACAATAAATACTAACTAAAATATTTTACTAATATGATATATTAGTAATTTTTACCATAGCAAATGAAACCATATCTTGAATAAAACCTTCATCATTTCCACCAATAGCTTTTCGAATAGTTTTTTCTGTATGTTTCGGTATAATATGTAATGGTAATAAATCAGTATGTTGTTGTGCATGTTTTTCTTTTTCAATCGAATCAAAATCAGATATACAATGAATTTTTGCTAAAATTATATATATATATATTTCTTTTGGTATCTTATTTTAATTACAAATAGTTTCATATGATACAAACCCATAGCTTTACCCAAATATTCAACTGTTTCACAAATATCTTCAAAATCATTTATATTACTCCATTCAAGATTTTTACTATGAGTTGCAGCTTCATTAATTACTAATGGTATTTGATTATTAAGTGTTGCATAGCCTAACCATTTTGATGTAACAGCATGCATTGCATAAGCACATAAAACAGTTCGTAAACCATCATGTCGAAAATAATATTCAAGATTTTGATCTTTAATAACAGTAGATACAGCTGATTGTGTTGCTGGTTTCATAAATAAAATAATATCACTTTCTAATGCTTGTGTTTTTCCTTGTACTAATATACTATATGATGCTCGACCTGATGATCCTATACCAGATGATGTACGTGCTACAATATCTTTTACCTTATAAAATGAAGAATAAATTTTAAAAGAGAAAAACAAATTATGAAATTATATTAACTGCATATGACCATTTTGTTTGTTTTTTACTTGGTGGTATCGTTTGTTGATATTCTTGAAATGCCGTTAATATTTGATGACGTAATTGATCATCAACATCTTTTGCAGTTTTCGATCGAATAAATTTTCTTTCGAAATTTTCTATTGTTGTCATTGTATTTAAATATTCTTCTGTTGAACCCAAACGTGATTCTTTTAATAATTTATTAACTGTTCCACGTGTATTTTCACTTGTTATTGCTATTGAATGTTGTTCAGGTGAATCACAATATTCATAAATTTGTCTTAAATACGAAGAAACAAGACAACGAATAATTTTTGCAATTTTTTCATCACTATATGCTTTTGAATATGTTATTAAATTAATACTTGCTACTAAACGTTTAATATCCCATGTAAATGGACCAATATAACCCTTAATAGAGTAATAAAAACAAAAAAGAATTCTGTAAGTTTTTTTCTTTAAATATAAAAATTTAATACTTCATCAAAATCGTTTACATCAAAATTAATAACACCATCCCGATCAATATATGTACCAAAATTTTCAGCATGAAGATCACCCTTAAATGATAAATATTAATTTTTTTCAAGGAGAAATTTTTCTTGATTGTTTTTTTGTTTTTAAACTTACATGAATAAATACACGTGAAGCTTCTTTGCAATTTTTTAACCATGGATCATGTGCCAAATCACATAGCATATCACGATAAAACAAAACGGCTGAACCACGATAAAATGAAAATTCATTTGCAGACATTTTACGAAATCGATTACGCCATCCTTTAGGACTTTCACGTATATCATTAGCAAAATTTTTTAAAAATGTATCAATTATATAATTTGTTCGTTGTTGATCATCTTCATCAGAATGTTTTTTATGTGAACTTGATGAATGATGTCGATGGTGATGTCGATGATGATTATATGGTGACGGTGGAGATAAATTCAACATTTGCTTGTTTTCTTTTTATGCTATAAAATGCACACGACAAAAGAGACGAAGATAATGATAAGGTTTTATATTAAGCTATTGATAAAAATCACTCAAGTGTGATACACAAAAATAAAAACCTTACGGTTATTCATATGTATTACTGACTTAACCGGTTTTATCGAAGAAGATTTTAGACTGGAAATTATAAAAAAATTAGAATTAAAATTAACAAGAATTTATCCACAAAATGATGTCCAGGTGGAAGACGAAGAGAAGAGCAAATAGTTCTAGACGTTTAGACATTTACTAGAAACTTTTTCCACTTTTTTTTTCACACAACTTTCGTTTTCAAGGTTAGTTTGTTCGAAAGACTATTTTGTTTTTAAACTGTGCAATAGGTTAAATTTTTGTTTATTGTTTATGAAATGTGTGTTTTCATTTCTATTTTTCAATTTTATTTAATAAAAATGAAGTAGTATCTTTTTGAAAGTCTTTTTATACTGAATGTTAGAGTTCGTCGAGTTGACTTTGACCTCAGACTCTATCGAACGTCCAGGAGAGAAATGGAAAAAAAAACTACATTTAATAATATTAAAAACAAATGTAATTCTATTGTGATTAAGAGCAACATAATCAAAAACAAATCATATATTGATACAAAAAACATCATTAACCACATAACCACATCCTTTGTCATCGTCGTCAATGATGACCTACATAATCAAATATTTCTTTTTTTTTACGAAAGTCTACATTTCTGATAATCGGTAGTTTACCGTTTTATCAATGGCCAGAGTCATCAAAATGCAAATATCTGTATCACTGGTCGAATTTCAGTTGGAAGACAACAAAGGTTAACGATAAAGTTGTTAAAGGCTGAAGCTACAATAATGATTGATATTTGTTTGTATTTTTCAAACTTATCAACATCATGATAAGCCAATAATGTTCTATTAGAATTCGTGCATTTTGGAGATCTCCGTGAATTATGTCTACCATAAAAGGAAAAGACTGTATCTTCGAATTACAATCTGAAATTTTGCCTAATAGAAACATCAATTAGATTAACTTGCATAGAAAATTTCAAAAGTTCTAAACTAAATCTCTTCGAGATAGGAAATTTTCAGGGAAAAACTTCTTTTTCCATAGATAGCATATATCCTTTGAAAGCTTCATATCGTGGAGAGATTGAGTCGAAAAATTTTGAAATTTTTCATGCAAACTAGCCTAGTTAATGTCTTTCTTTTGGTCAAGTTTCAGATCGTAACTTGAAAATATGATCTTGCTGAAAACGTGGAATTCTACAGCGAAAATTGTCTCATAAAACCTGATCTCCTCAGAAACAGGTCATAAATATAAACTGTTGTTATAATAGATATAGTTTACCTAAGGTCTGCAACATACATTAACCAGGAAACTTCGTGAAGTGATAAATTCCTTTTGAACTAAGACTTCGCTCATCATCTCGGTCTCCTTAAAACTTGAAAAGTCGAAAAATGATTCGTGTCTATAGATCTCCTTCCTTGAGTTCGAGCCATATTATTACATTTTTGGCCCCCCGAGTAGAGCTCTGCAGATGAAACGGAAACATGGTATTATGACTTGAATTTTAGCCTCTAGTTAGATTTGATGTTGACTAACATAAGTCAAAAATTTTATAGAAAGCGAGCGTTTCGTTCCTGAAGTAATAGGTTTTCCTGAAAAAACAAAACAGTTTGAAAATATCACATTTTTTGAAGACCAATCATCTCCGTAGGGCGTTTTCGATGAAATTTTTGACTATGACGAGTCAAAAATACAATAAAATAGCTCGAATTGAAGAAGGAAGATCCATGAACATAAAAATCATTCTACGATTTTTCTAGTTTCCATACGATGAGCAAAAAATTTCACTTTAAAATCGATTTATCACTTAGCGAAGTTCTCTTATCAAATATTTTTCATAAATTCAATGACCATTAACACCCAATAAATATTCATTCTCATTTAATAACTTTAATATAATTTTATTTTCATAAATCGTAAAAGGGCTGAATGCAAAACAAACAAAAATAAATGAATTATTTCAATTTAAGAAGTCAAGTCTTTATAACATTGATCACAAACTCGTTGTGGTTTTTTTGATGATGCTGCAACAACAGCTGTTTTTGATGAACAATTATCACAAAATATATTTCCACAATTTCGACAATGATGTTTACGTTGTGTAACTGAAAAAGTTTGTTTACATTTCATACAATCATAAACATCATCATCATTTAACCAACGACGTTGATTTAATTTATTTGTTTGAATCTAAATAAAATAATGTTTTTTTTTTTTGTTTTCATTATTGAATAATTCCTACTTGAAGAACTTGATATTCTCGAGCTATTTCTTGTAAAGCTGATTCCAAATCCGTATTTTTCTTTGTTAATTGATTATTTTCAAATAGAAGTTTTTCATTTTTACTTTCACTTGCTAATGATCGTTCTAATAAAACACGACGTTCATCTTGACTTACAACTAAACGCGCTTCTAAATCTTATTTATATCAATTAATCTTATATTTAAAAAAAAAATATTTTTTTTTTCTGAATAAACAAACCAGTTTTATCTGATTTAATTTGATCAACATTTGATAATTTTTCATTAGTTGTTCTAAGTTCACTTCGTACAGTAGCTAAATTTTCAGTTAATGCTGATAGCTGCATTTCATGTTTTTTAGTTCGTGATTCAAGTTCACATTCTAATGATTTCTTTATAAAGACAATAAAAAAATAAATAAATAAAATTTATTTTGAAAAAAATTATTTTATTTTATTTACAATTTGTTTTTCATATTTTTCTCGTTGAAGATCTATAGTTTGAGTAGCATTAGATAATGATTCCGAAACCTACAAGTAGAAAAAATAGGATAAAATTATATTTATGACATTGTTGTTTTTTGGAATCAGATTCTTGATTCAGTTCTATTGAAAAAAATGGCAAAGTTAATTTTATACCTGTAATAAATTATGATTAAGTTCGCCTAATTGTATTTCAAACTTTTGTTTTTGTTCGTGATATTCTTTCATTAATTTATTATATTCAGGTTTGATTGTATTCAATTGTTTTTCTATTTGTTGTTTTTGTTCGAGATGTTTCAAATTATCTATTTCAGTTTGTTTTTCTAATTTGGTCTATTAAAAAATGAGTTTATATATTTTCAAAATAACTTTTAATAATCAACAAATGATCAATAAATTTCACCTTACTATCAGTAATTATTGTATGAACAATAGTTAAATAATTAGTAAATTCTTCACGAATTTGTTCTAATGTTTTTGAACGAATTGATGGAGACTCTTGTTCAGCCTAATGAGAAAAAGAAAATATTTTTTAAACAAATTCTAGTTTGTTAAGATGATCAGCTGTCTAAATCCAATAAAAACTATTTGTGGTTTTCATCGACTATTTAATTTCAATTTTTCTTTTTACCATAAAAGATTTAGATCAATCTGAATTTAAGGAAATGTTTTATAAAAGTTCATTTTATAAGAACATCTTCTTAATAATAACTATGTTACTTTTATTAGGCTAAAATGTTGACCAAGGAGCATCCCTTAATGTTTGAATGCTTTTTAATAGAGATTGTATTCAGATGATAGGCTATGTTGAGCAACGTTCAAAGGTTAAGATGATCCGATTGTTAGAGTCTTCATCTTAAGATACTAAATTTTTACTGAAGTTTTTACTCGAAACTTGTGATCCTCGTTAGCTCACTATGAAAATTAAATTTCGAGTTTCGACTTGAAACTTTAAATAAAATAAATCTCTCAACAATAATAATTCATTGTAAAAGTATCACTGATTTTAATGCTTTGCATTTAAACCTATCAGCATATGAAAAGTGATCACATTTTTTATTAGAGAGTTTTCATTATTCGTATCTCAAAGTAAGACATACAAAAATCACTGAAACTTTCACAATAATCTAATATCATTGAGAGTTTTATTTATGCAAGGTTGCAAATTAAAATTCAATTTTCATGTTGACTTAGACAGAACTACAGATTTTGAGTAAGCGATCCAATAAAAAACTCGATATGCCAGAAACAAGGCTCAGACAACCAGAGACTATTCTAGACTTTAACATTACGTATCATCTGAATATAGTCTTGATCAAAAAGTGATCGGATATTTAAGCATGTTTCTGCATGAAATCAACATCATATCTTGACTTTTAAAATTCTTAAAATATCTCTTTAGCTCCATAGTTTTTCATTAAATTTATTTACAATTACCTGCTCAATAATAGTCAATAGATTTATTTGATTAGTATGAATATTTTGTTGAAGATGCTGATAAATTTTATATGCACGATGGATAACCGTCGATAAACGTTTAATATAATCGTCCTAATAATAGAAAAACATAGCTTACAATTAAATGTATTTTTCTTCTTAAAGACTTTTTGATCGAGTTTAATATTTAATTGAGAAAGTGTTGTTTGTAATTGTTGTTCAATATTATTTTTTTCATTTTGAATCGTATTTAACTGTACATTTATTTGTTCATGTTGATTAATCGTTTGTTTTAATTCATTTTTCTCGTGTTCGAATCGATTGTTTTGTTCTATTAAATCGGTTTTTAATTGTTCGATTTCTTGTTTCTAAAAATTACGAAATTAAAAATAAAATTTACCTATTAATATATTACTTGTTTGTCATTATGTTCATTCGCTTTGTGAAAATTCGTTTCTATGTTCATATATTGTTCACGTACGGTTGATAATTCATGTTTTAATTCGTTTATTTTTTGTTCCTAGAGATACATCAAATGCGAAATAAAAAGGATTGAAAAACTATTTTAGATATTTGTTGAAAAAAAAGCTAAATCTCATATGTTGTTAAAATACTTCGGAAAACATTATTAGTTGAAGAGTAAAAACAGTACACATGTATAAAAATAAATTTTATTTCTTATTTGAAAAGAATAAATTATATGAATGATTTTAATCAAGTTTTGTTTGAGAAAATGATAAGGCTCTGATATCGGAATAATTATTTTTTTCATAATCATACTTTATCATTATTATTATCGTCTAATTGTTTTCTAAGTGAATCAATTTCATGATTAAGTCGTGTTTGATCAGTATGTAATTGATTCTATAAAATAAAATAAAAATTTTCGAAAATAAAAAATATTATCATATTACTTTTTCATGTGTTATTTGTAAATATTGTTTAGAAATATGATCGAATTCATCTTGAATTTTTTGTCGTTCGTTATTTTTTTTTTTTCTCTAATCTCAATTTGTTTTATTTTTCTATTTTCAAGAAAGAAACCAATGATAAATTAATTAATGATTTACAAATTGAACAAAAACAAACAAAGTCTTATCGATATCAAATTGAATCACAAACTAATGAAATTCATGAATTAGAAAAAACATTAAATGAATTACAAAATGAAAAAAATCAATTAATTCAAACGAAAATTGATACTGATGAAAANAAGGTTTTCTAGAAAGCCTTGGCTACGGATTTTAGAACTTTAAGGTTCTGAGAGTTGCAAAAATGAAATAAAATAAGAACTAAAAAACTCCTTTCCCTCATCTGAAGCAAAAAAAGAGTTCTCTTTCAAATGAGATCACCCCGGGCGCTGTAGCTTGAAGTGTATTGAAAAATTTCTTGTTCCCGTGGAAGCCCTATTTTCCCCCTTGATTGTTCGAAAACTTTTGAACGATAAAGTTTAGAGCCCTGAAAATTTTTTTATGCATGTACAACTAAGAGCCGAACATTCCTAGAAAACTTCGTGAACCTCCCACGTACTATACCGAAAATCGATTTTGGAGGGGGGGGGGCGGCCTGAAGGCTAAGATCAATCAGAAGCCAACTACATTGAACATTTAAATCGATTGTAGTATAGAGTCTATAGTATTTCAAATTTTTTAATCGGAATCGGATAGTCTTCCCAAAAATATGAGATACTTTTTCCAAGTTTTGTGTATTCGGTGACTAGCACACACTAAAAATTACTCAAATGACTGAATTTCGTTGAATTCAAAATTTTGCGGACCTGGATTTGGAATAAACTCTACGGATTCTATTGTAGTCAAAATATGCATTGCGGGTGTTTGTAGAAAGAAGAAAAAATCATAGAAGACGATGAAATCTGTTTGACGAACTTGAATATCATTTTCTATTTCAGAAGTATTCAAATATTTTACAAATGTACAACATTTATTTTTACTTATTCTTTCTTATATTGAATAAGAAATATTAATTTAGGAATTAATTTCGTAACAAGTCAGAATTGGTTTAATAAAATACTTAGGGCATACCAAAAGTTCTGGACATGGTGTTTAAAGGATCTTTTCGACTAAAGGGACCTATTGAAAAATGAAAAATCAAATATATCATGTTGTAGAGCTTTTTGAGGCACATCGAATGGTATAGTAAATCTTGTTTTCATAAGACTTTGAAGGACCTAGAGTCAATTTACTGATAGGCGATGGCACATTCACGCCCACCCACACTGATAAGATGACCGAAGATGCTACATATAGGAGGTTGTAGCTCGTCAAAAACTCTGCAAAATCGTTTGTGAGAAAAGTATTTTACAAATACTTTTGACTAATACCAAATACCACAGTATTCAGACACTTATGTTTGAGTGTGGATGTGCTATCAGTAAATTGACTTTAGTTTTCTTGAAGTCTTATGAAAACAGGATTTACTAATATACCATTCGACGTATCTCAAAAAGCTCTACAATATGGTATATTTAGTTTTTCATTTCTCAAATAAGTCCCCTTATCCGAAAAGATCCTTTAAATGCCGTGGCCAGAACTTTTGGTATGCCGTCAATAGATGTCAGCTGAGGACAGTTAACAAATGATTTACTAAAAAATAATTCGTCAACTTACTTTTACCATTCTACGAAACATTTTCTCAATCAGCTGTATTTTTCGTAATATATTCATCTGTTTGTACTTTTCTCTCTTTTAGTTGATCGTTTTTGAAATAGTTGCTAATCATAAAACAAGAATGATGCAAGTTATTGTTGATCGAATTCGTGCTACATTACCATCTGTTAATGACGATATTCTTGGTTATATAACTGGTTTGTAATTTCTTTTCGTTTCTTATTGTTTTTTTCTTTTTTTTTGTTTCTTCAGACATTTTAGAAACAAATAAAACTGATTATACTGATTCTGAAGAAGTAGAAGATGCTTTAAGACCTATATTTGAAGAAATAGCTCATGATGAAATAGAACAAGAAGCAATCACTGAACTTTGTCAATTTGTTAGTGATCAATTAAAATTGTAAGAAAACAATTTGAAGAATTAGAAGAAAAAAATTATTTATTTTTTTTTTCTAGAGAAACACTATCGGGTGGTAATGGTTTAACCCATGGACCAAAAAAATTATTAACACCTGTTTTAATTGGTCATTATTCAGGTTCAAAATCTAGTGAAGTTTCATCGGCTTTATTTAATATGTCTGATCGAACATTTATTAAACCAACAAATGAAATAACAACTGTATCACAAAAAAAACTTGAAAAAGCAGAAGCTAAACTTCGTGAAAAACAAGAAAAACGTGCAAGAGATGAAGCAACAAATGGTGAAAATAAGTATGTTAAAATTTCTTTTTGATTTAATTATTATTTCTTCAAATTTCTAGAGAACAAGCACAACTTGAAGATGCTGTTGTTAGTCAAGCAACTAATAAACGATTACTTGCAGAAAATGAAAATAGTGATTCAACAAATAAATCGTAAGTTAATTAAGAAAAACAAAAACAATGAAATTTATTTATTTTGTTGATAGATATGATGTTCATATTGATAATTTCGATGTATCATATGGAAACAAGTAAGATCAATGCTGTTTTTTTTCTTTTATTTGAATAATTGTTTTGTTTTGTATAGAATGTTAATTCATACTGCTACTCTTGATCTTATCTATGGTCGTCGTTATGGTTTTGTTGGTCGAAATGGATTAGGTAAATTAAGTTTTATTTGATGATATTTATAGACTAGTTCTTTTTTATTTTTATAGGTAAATCAACTTTACTTCGTGTAATAGCTAAGTAAGTTCTAATTAAATTCTTGTTTTTTTTTTATATTAAATAATCAGTTGAGATTGAATCATAGAAATAAAAAACAAAATTTTCGAAGGTGATGAACTCTATGATAATCTTTTGGAAATTATCGTAATTACTGAGAGATGAATTCTAACTCTTCCAGTATTATTTTAACGATATTTATTACAACGTAAAAGTATCTAATAGAGAATAAATATCGAGAAAATTAGTTAAGAATGATTACTACAGTAATCGTCAAAAGTTCTGGTACAAGGTAAAAAGTATCTAAACATGAATCCTTTTATCTTATATTTAGTCGACACATATTGCGCGATGAATTCTAATCCTAAGTAGCAAACAGGACTTGATCGACCTTCATCCGAAGGAGCTATACTCGAGAACTCAAGGTTGTTTCTCTCACTAATAAAGATTTCATTTCGAATGATTTGTAGTCTGATTCATTTATGGCGTTATCTTTAAGTATTCTTAGTATGAGAATTGATGAATTTTGTCAAAAGTTAACTTTTAATTTGAACTATTCGTCTTGAACATTTCTCCAATGAGTTACTTGCTCTATTCAAGTACTCTCTGAAAATCTCATGAGTACAGCTATTAGTAAAATAAAGATCTATGCGAAGATCATCCCAAATATTGTATTAACAGATGTTTAATGTTTTCAGAGTTCCAGTGGACAGTCGATAATAGATACTCCTCAATAATTATTATTATTGATAGTTGTAAAGATTTATCAATTTTGTCCAGAGAGCATCACAACATAATTTTCTTCTTCCTACCTTGCGTTCTGAAAGACGATCTTGTCATTGATTTTTTTGTCAAAGAGAAAAACTTGTTTGTATAGGAGGTCCGATGTCAAATATCATAGAAATACTATTTATACAAAAATCATTTACAATATAATCATTTTAATAAACCCTATCACCTGGTTCTCAGCAGAAATGAAATGAACAATAAAGAAAATATCTGGCAAATCATAAGATGAACAAAGAAAAAATAATAAAGCAAACATAAAGATATAAGACTCAAAATGTAACCTGTTTGATGGCGAGAAAAGATAAGTTATATTATCAATTAGACTTGATAATAAACGTTTTCGTTTTTGAATAAATGTCATTTCAACTAAGCTAAATAATCTTTCCACCGAACCAGCCGACGTCTACTGGATCACTATCAATTAAGTGATTGTGTGTCCTGCAGGACATGCGTTCTGTATAAGGATATAACAAGGAAATAGTTGAATTTGATAAAAATACATTAAAAGTTTTCGGAGGTCAGAAATCTGAATCTATAGGAGGTTTGTCGAAATTCTCGTTTGAGAAAGGCTTAGTGCTCACGGTCGAGTCACTTTTTGATAAAATTCATCTATTTTTCTGAAATAGACCTTCCTCGACCGAAAAAGTCGAAATGAATCTAAGATTATCGTAGTTTTATCATACGTTCACCGTTACTCTATACTTGCATGTTTGAACCTGTGCACCTCTGGTCCTATGACGTTCTCTGATATTGCCTAGTTTCAAGCTGGGAACTTTCAAAGAATCTGCACATGATATCTGCTGTAATATTCAAAACAAAATCTTTCTTCCTTATGTTTTTATTATCATTCGAGAGGGCATTAAAAAATAAAATATATTTACAATATTAAACTATTGATTTAGGGTTCGTTGAATTAGAAATCATTTCTTATTGATACTTAACATTTTAGAAAATAACTTTTTAATTCTATCAAATCAGAAATGATGTATATGACTTTTCTTATTCAAGAATTTTTTTTCTATGTTTAGTCGAAGTCTTGTACTTCCATCTCATCTCCGTATATTACATGTTGAACAAGAAATTGAGGGCAGTGATACCATTGCTCTACAGAGTGTTCTCGAATGTGATGAACGACGAACAGCATTATTGAATGAAGAAAAAGAACTAAATAAAAGATTACATTCAACGTAAATTATTTCTTATATATTATCGATTTTCTAAGATAAAAGTTTGTTGCACGATTATTTCAGTAACGATTCATCAGCAGCTCACGATTCATTTATTTCAAAACGTTTAGCAGCAATTTATGCTGGATTAGAGACAATTGAAGCAGATAAAGCTGAATCAAGAGCAGGAGTTATATTAAATGGTCTTGGTTTTACTAAAGAAATGCAATCCATGACTACAAAGTAAAATTATTGATTTATCTTTATTTATTTTTATTATTATTTTTTTCTGTATTTTAAAATAGACAGTTTTCCGGTGGTTGGAGAATGCGTCTTGCATTGGCACGAGCTCTTTTTTCAAAGTAAAGTTTTATATTTCAATTGTTTTCTTTTTATTTTGATATTTAATATTTCTTTAGGCCAGATCTTCTTTTACTTGATGAACCGACTAACATGTTAGATTTGAAAGCAATTATTTGGCTAGAAAATTATTTACAAACATGGAAAAGTACTGTCTTAGTTGTTTCACACGATCGAACATTTCTCAACACTGTTGCAACAGATATTCTACATTTACATGCACAAAAACTTGATTCATATAGGTAAATATAAATGAAAAAGTTCATTTAGAAATAAATTTCTCTTATTTTTGCATAGAGGTAATTACGATACATTTGTATCAGCTCGAACAGAACGTCTTAAAAATCAACAACGTGAATATGAAGCACAAAAAGATTATCGAGATCATATTCAGGTTTGTTAAGAAAATTAATTCATGCATTTGATTCTTTTTTAAATAAAATATGTTAACGTAATGATAAAAAGTATCGATCTTCATTCTCTGTCAATAGATAGAATTAGTTACGAGTTCAAAAGAGAGTTTACAATGAACTTCGTCTCGTTTTCAAGTGAAAACTACAGGTACGAAAATGAACCTGACTGAGTTCAGAATCAACTCGACAGGCTCTAGTCGTAATCCCGCTTAGGAACAACAAAGAAACTAATTTTCGACTTGAAACGTTGCATAGAGATGGATCTCATATTTTGTAAATGTTTTAGATCTTGCTATTGTTCCTATCTTAAGATACAACGATGGTAATAGCGTATCTCTCACATTAAGATTTATCTCTATGCAAAATTTCAAGTTGAAATTCGAAAAGAAATTTTTCAGCTGTCATGACATTTATTTAAAAAATATCATTAAAATACAGTGTTTCTGTTGTAATAAGCTAAGGATACGAATTCTTTTCACAGTAGTCATGACTCATTTGGGTTTATGTAATGCACATAGTCTCGAATCAAAAACGATTGAACAATATGAAGACTTTCTTTGTTGACTTGACAGTTGTCAGTAATCGAATCTGAATCGAAAAGTTTTACTGATTGGATATATGAATCGATATGCTGTTTGTACCAGTATCGTGGCAATATCACTTTTGTCGCAAAATTTTACACAACCATCAAAAATATTTCTCTCTACGAAAAGTGTTAGTTCTGCTCCTGATCTCTATTCAAGTCTCGGCGGGATCATCTTGTCCATATCTAGTATTAATAATACTACCTATCGTTTTACTCTATTATTTCGATATAGATTATAAAATAATCGAAATAGCATTAAAAAACATGTTCTAAAGATGGAAAAGGTAGATAAATATTCGATCTAGACTACCATTATCTATGATTTGGATCCGAATTTAACATTTAGTTAACAGAATTCCAATGTTAGCTCGATTATTGACATCGTTAGATCTATTTATTAATGATTGTCGTGTGACAGTTATTACATATCTCAAAAGCTTCAAAGAGAATGAGTTATATCTTTTTTCTTGATAAATCATCTTTAAAACAAAGTGCTTGAAATTAATAAAACTTTTATCATTCTTTCATAGGTATTTATTGATCGATTTCGTTATAATGCTAATCGTGCTGCACAAGTACAAAGTAAACTTAAATTATTAGAAAAACTGTAAGTTATTGGTTTTTATTTTCATCTGATCTAATGAATAAAAATATTTCTTCATTAAATTAGACCTATTTTACGACCAGTAGAAAAAGAACATGAAGTTCATTTTCGTTTTCCTGAACCTGAACCATTAAATGGAACAATTTTACAATTAGATGATGTTGCATTTACTTATTCAAAAGATGATCCTATGATATTAAATAATGTTAATTTATCAGCTAATCTCTCATCACGTATTTGTATTATGGGTGAAAATGGATCTGGTATGAAATTAATTAATTAGCTTCTTTTTTTTTTTATGTATAATAAATTTTCTTTTTAAGGTAAAACAACTTTATTAAAATTATTAGTTGAAGAATTAGAACCAACTAAAGGTCAACGACATGGTCATAGAAATTTAGCAATTGGCTATTTTACACAACATTTTGTTGATCAATTACCAATGAATATTAATTGTGTTGAAGTTTTACAATCGAAATTTCCTGGTAATATAATAATTTCTTATATATTCTTCATTTTATAGTTATTTTCTTTTAGGTAAATCTGCTGAACAGTATCGAACGGAATTAGGTCGTTTTGGTGTCAGTGGTGATACAGCATTACAAACAGTGATGAGTTTATCAGGTGGACAAAAATGCCGTGTAGCATTTAGTTTAATGTGTATGAAAAAGTAAGAAAATAATTTAGTTTTTTTTTTGTTTTGTATAAAATATTATTAAATAATTCTTTTAGTCCACATATTCTTGTACTTGATGAACCGACAAATCATCTTGGTAAAATTAGAAATTCGTTTTTTTGAATAATATGTATTTTTTGTTTTCAATAGATATGGAAACAATTGAAGCATTAGCTGATGCAATAAAAAAATTTCAAGGTGGAGTTGTACTTGTATCACATGATGAATTACTTATAAAACGTGTTTGTACGGAAGCATGGCTATGTCGTAATGGAAGTGTCACTGCACTTGAAAATGGTTTTGAACAATACAAGAAATTAATTGAAAGCGAATTACAATATTAATATAACGATCAACGGTTTATTTGTTATTTTTCTTTTGTTTGAATAAATCAGAAAAAAAAGCCGAGCGACAGAGAAAAGAATCAACTAAAAAACCAATTGAATGAATCATATTTTCAAAAATAAATATTTTTTATTAATATATATATTCATATAATTAATAAAAAGAATAAAAATTAAATTTTATTAAACACTTGAACTCATCACTTCCGTTCTATACACAGTGGGCAATACGGTAGATGTTAGGTAAAAAATAAAAATAAGTTTTAAATAGTAGCAAGTACACCTTGATTAATGACCAGTTTTTCGGTAAAAAAATGTTGTTTCAGCTATTTAATTCATTGCGAAAATTTGTTTGTAAATTCAGCACCTTTAGAGAAAAATGAACAGAGTTAGACAATAAATCATGTAATTTTTTTAAGGAAAGCATTTTTCGAAAAGACATCTTTAGTAAAGTTAATCGCTACTTTTTTCCACTAATTCAATATCGACGAAACTTTCAGAGAATGTTCTTCTATATCTGGAGCATATCTTTAATTAACACAAAGATACGTGATTTCATCTGGACCGAGATACAAGTTTTCTAATAGCTTTGACTTATAAAGATATCATACCCAAATATCACATAAACCAACAATTGTTATAAAGAATTCTATGAAGAAACGACGGAAACTTTAAACTTAAATTTCATTGTTTGTTCTTCTAGGATATCTACGAAACAGTTCTGTACCGATGTCAGAGTGGTTGTGTAGAATTTCTTTTTCAGAGTCAATGTCGAAGTTATATCAGTAGAACAGTTAGGTGTTCTTTCTCTGGCACAATAACAAATTTATTCTTCATATGTTAACTAATGAATAAAAATACATAACCTTATAGATTCATAAGTTTCAAGAAAAAGAAACAACAGAGAGACATTTTTATTAACAAATAAAACAAAAAAGAAGTATAAAATGTTAGTTAAAAAAATATTTGGAGTTTCTTGGAGTCGAATCCGGAATTTAAAGAGTAAAAGTTTCCGGAGTCAAAAACTTGAACTCCACAAGACTGTACAAAGAAACTATGTTTATCCAATTATTGACAAGAAAACAATAACAAATGTATAGAACCATTTTATATATAGCTATCATTGAACTATAAATAACAATGAACTAAGTTTTAATGTGACATTATCAAAATGAACCTCGGTTACGCTTTCGAATCGCAGTAAATATCTTTGTTAGCTTATTTCGAGTGTTTTCTGTTACTAAAAGACAAGCTGTTAGCGCAATCCTTGAGGAATTACAATATAAAACACAATGCAGCTGCTATTGCTAATCACACAGAGATCGCTTTATTGTATATATTTTGGAACATATTTCTTCCGTATTTTTTTACTTAATCCTTTAGAAATGCAATCAAGGACGTTGATAAGATATCTGTCGTAGTCTTGGCGGAAAGTCCAAAGTTTTACCTCAATACTTCAACATTCATTTTAGATTGTGTTTCAAAAAAGATTAGCGATGTCTTATGGACAATAAACGAGCAAATCCAACAGATTTCTCACCTAAATATTAACTGCACGCACCAGATAAAAGATATCGGCATTTTATTTTTACGAAAAGATGACTACACTTTGCTCAAATTCTTGAAAAACAAACATTGTATACTCTCCTATGGAAAAAAAATGATTATAATATCGTCGTTTACTATTCATTAGCAAATAGATAGACTTGATTTCAACTGAAATATAAAATTTATTTGGTTTGTAACGCGAAAACACACATACATAAAGTTGTATCTAAAATTGTAAAAAGCATCGTTAGTGCTTGTTATTCTTAATGCAGAAAAACTAACAAAAATTCACGATATTCGTGTAAGCAATATGTAATACTATGAAATTACAATAAATAAATATATATGTATATAAAGCAAGAAAATTAGAATACATCAAAATCTTGTTGATGATGGTTGCCCTGTAAGTGTATTGATCTAAAAGAAAAACAATCATAACAAAAACAACCGAGTTAAATTCAACATACTTCTTTCATCACAAGTTTCTTTTTTGTTAGAGCAATATCAGCTTTTTTTGTTTCGCGTCGTTGATGATATTCGCGTGCTTCTTGATCATAATAATCACTTAATTCTTCAAGACCTCGTACATGTTCTATAAAATCAAATAGAATCGAATAAACAAAAGAATTTAAGTGTTTCTACCTTGAACAGCTTGTTTTCCTCCCATACGTAAAAACTCAACTAATCGATCACTTTGTTCCTCAATTTCCCGACGTTTCATTTTTAATCGATGAAGTTGTTCAGGTGTAAGATGATCATGTAATTGTTCAATCTATTTTAACATATCAAGAAAAGGAAATTTTTTTGACTAAAATTTTTTTCAACACACTTGTTGTTGAATAAGTGAAACTTCATAATTAAGTACTTGAACACATTGTGGACCTGCGGATGTAGATGGTGTTGCTGGTTCTTGGTGTTGATGTTTTCGTCGACGTTGACGATCAGTCAATTCAGCTGTATTTGATTGACTACACAATAAAAAATAAATTAAATATGAGAAAATAGAAAAAAAAACAAGGAATAGGAGTAATACGGGGTGTAAAAAAGCATGCCTACATGCATGACTGTCAAATGAACAAAGAACAGGCTCTTCATATTCAAAATCTCACTGCAAAGTATACCTGCTCTCTACAACTTCATCATTATTTTTAGTTCTGGCCATATTTATGGCCAACTGCCCTAATACTTCGCCTGTAGGTATCAGACGAGCAATAGCAGTAATTGCTGGTGCAGAAGCTGCTGATGATATGAATTATGTATTTTAATAGAAAAATATAATAACAAAAGAAAAAAAAAGAACAATAAATCTATTATTGGATTATTAAAAACGACAATGATAGAACTCATTGACGAAGAGAAAAAACAATTTTTTTTTATTTGACCTACTTTGATGTTGATGATGATTTCGCATGTGAAGACTATTAAAAAAAACATGAAATATAAATTCAATGAGAAATAATTTAAAATTTACTAATTCTTCAAAACGATCAATAACAAGCCAGCGTTGTGGTAATATATCTGATGCTTTTGTTTGTCCTAATGCTTCTTTAATACGTAATTTAACTTCTAATTTTCCTTCAATTTTTTTCTTATGTTCACTTTCATATAAATCAACTGATTCATGTATTGTACATGCTTGTTCTAATGTAGCTAGTTTAATTGATGCTGTACCCAATGGACGATCTGATCGAAGAAAACCAGCTTTATAAAAAACAGCTAATTTTAATTCTTTTCGATTCATTAAGCGTCTAAATTTTGCATCATTGGATTTTATATAAAATTTATGTAATGAATCAGGATATTCAGCATTTACTGAACCAACTGCATGACGAGTTCGTGCCGTTTGAGGAGTTTCAGTTGGATAAGGAAATTCGATAGCTACATAAGTTTCAAGTGATGATGCAGATTGACCTGATGGAACAGGTAAATTAATACCACGAAGAATATTAACCTTAAAATAAAGTTTTTTCAAAAATGAATTCCATTTTCCTATGTCATTTTCAACAATTGTAAAAGAAAACAAAATTAAGACTAAGATCTTTACGAAAATTTGTTCATGTTTAAGATAATAATGAGAAGTTACTGTGAAATATTTGTTGCGCGAGGTTAAAATCATTGATTAGAATATCAAGATTCTCTTCGAGCATTAAACCAATAGAGATCTTTTTCATTGCAATATCTACTTATGATTTATTCAATGAGAAAACAGTTAATTACAAGTCCATGAAATTCTGTGAACCAAAATGAAGACAAACCGAATTCGAACTGATAAAACTCGATTCGATTTGATCTCTGACTCATAGTCATCATACTAAAATGTTCAACTGACTTCACATTGTGGGCTAATTTTTCGGTAAGATTCATCTAGAAAATCAACCGTTTTTAAAAAATTTATCTGGTATTCAAAAGGGTATTATTAGGAACTAAGTGCCCAAGCAATTGGACTTCAGAAAATCTATAACTTTCTATTCTAGATAGTGCATCGTCGTTTCTAGCGAGCTAGGGATATCCTTGAGGAGAATACACATTCTATTTAATACAAGTACAAAACTAAAACAAACTTAACATTTTTTATTAATTAATATTTACCTCAAGATCATTATCTCCTAAATCATTATTAACTTGTACAATAGTCATTTGTCTTCTTTCATAATGAAATAATGGTGGTTTTAAACCATGTTGAAAACATTGTCGTAATTTTTCTAAATCATTTGCACAACGTTGTTCAAGAACTTTATATTCATTTGTATATTTTGCATTATTTATTCCTTCCATTTGTGCATATATTTGTTGATTACGTGCACATAATTGAATTTGTTTAAGAAGATCTTCTTGTAAACGACGATATATTGTATCACGATCTGCACGAGCTAAATCTTGTGTTAAATCATCATCATCTATCATATCATTATCATCATCAGGTAATTTAGGTACCTAAGAGATACAATAATAAAGAAATTTGATTTAAAATAAATAAAGAAATAATTTCCTACTTGACTCATATCAACAGGTAAACCAGATTCAGCAGCTTCAACCATTTGTTCAAGCCCTTTATAGGCAAAAAGAAACTTTTTAGCCGTTTCAAGATCACCTATAATTAAGTATCAAAATAAATATTTATATAGAGGGCATGGGTAAATTCCACTTTCCAAGGAATTCAAATTTCTCTGCATCAGTATACAATAAATGATACAAAGCTTATCAATACTGCCGTAAGGATCCTGACTAATGTCAATGATATATAACCAAAATTCATTTCTACATATTCAACTGAAGGGATACAAGTCGTAGTTTAGTGTTAAGCTGAGTCAGGAAATTTTTTTTATTATGAAAGTATATAGAGTGTGCGTGTGAAAGTGAGATTTGTGTAGATGAAAACATGAACTTCACATACGCACTCTTTTTATATTTGCATAATTATAGCTAGCTAACGTTTTAATTTAAATATATTTTAAAAGTCAAAGATAAATAAAAACAATTATGATAAAGTGCTAGTCATCGATGCTAATATCCAAGTTACTCAATAAAGCATTCGCAAATAGTTAACAATAGTAACATAAATGTCCTTACCCAACCCAACTCAAAAAAGCTATTAGCGCAATCCTGTGGGGTTAAAACGTGAAACACAATGTAGCTGCTCTTGCTAATCACAGGAAGATTGTTATACTCTATATATTTTGGGACACATTTCTTCGCCACCCTTGTTATTCCTTCAAAAAAGCAATAAGGAAGTATAGTTTATATATTTTAATAAGACGATATAGACATTCGATCTGTGACGTGTTGTTACTAAGATATGAGTCATGTTTGTAAGAGATGGGCCCAAATTCCTATCCCTATACGTCAACATTCCTTTTAGATAATATTGTACAAAATATACATTTCATTTTTATATTAAAATCAATTTTTTTTGTACTTATTTCTCAAAGTTATATATATATATTTAAAAAATAAGAAAACAAAACAATTGTTATACCTTTTTGTTTAGCTTGTACAGCAAGTTTTTGAAATTTTTCTTGTTTAAGACGAAGCACTTGAACTTGTTGACTTTTTCTTGCGTCTGAAAAAATAAAATTAACGAAAACAAGACGAACGAAAAGTATAGCTAACTAATTGTAGTAGTCAAGGCTGCTGTAGGTACAGGCCGTTGTTGTTGAGATTGTGATGGTCGTGTTTGTGTATTTGATGGTACTGGTTTAGCTGCTGGAACAGATGAAGGTGGTGCCGTTGGTTGAGGTTTAGATTGTTGAACAGGAATCGGTGCAAAACCAGGTATATCTGGTAATTCACTATAATTATATGGACGACCTTTTCGTGTAGCATCGATAGCTTCGGTGTATTGCTAGTGATAAAAAAAAGAAATCATTAGATTACTAATGCCCCTCTTATTTTGGATAGGCATTGGTAGATTGTGCACTCGCTACGCGCACTGTATTATCCAGGATATGAATCATCCATACAGTAGCTAACAATGAAGCTTGAACACTAGCTCCTGTATTCTATTTGGACAGATAGTGGAGAGTAATACTACTATAAAGGCATCGTGTATTCTTGATAACACGATGCTCGCAGCGATGACGTCATCTGCCACTGTCCACCCAAAACAAAAGGGGTGCTAATTTTTTAGTTTTAAGCCTCCATTGATTTTTCGCTAAAATTTCTTAAGATTAACTAAATTTTTGATTAAAGTTACTATTTTGTTTTTCATTTATTAAACCATTAAAAGAAAGTCTTGTAATAGGAACGATTTTCTATTCTAGAGAGATATTCACATAGCAATAGTTTGAAATAAGACGAACGAATTAAACTCTGTAGTGTAACATTACATTCATCATTGCTATTCAGTTTTAGACAAGAAGAATGAATATAGTTTTTCTATTGTATATTGATCACACTTCACTATAAACTGAACTTGTATTTGGATGGAAAAAAGTGAATCCTATGTGTCGACATATGGATATCTAAGATTAACTATATTACATCTAAGTGGAAGATAGATATGCCATGCTTTGTTCACTTCCGACAACTAGCAGAAACTTAATGAACACATGTTTTAGTAAATTGTGTATCGAAAAAAAAAACGAACAAATTACTTTTGAAAGTCGTTCCATTCGTCTTGCTTTGGGATTATCACCACTTCTAGCTGCTTCTTCACCACGTTTAGTTAACTCTTCATGTCGTTGTTGTAATGCTTCCATGATTGTACGAGGTTCAGGTGCTTTTACTATATCGAAAAAAAAATCAATTTTAAATTTTGAAAAAGCAAAAAAAAAATTAGTACGCACATGGTAAAGCTGGTGGTGGACCATCATCTTCTGGCACATTATCATATGTTTCTTTTTGTGCAAAAGAAGGAACCGTAGATGTTGTTTTACTTTGTAATGCCTAATAATTACTATAGAAATTGAGAAACATAATAAAATAGCTGCTATACCCTCAATTGAATAATATATTCTTTTGCTTTCGTCATATCTCCTTGTTGTTTAGCTTGTAAAGCTAAGGCTTTAAGCCGTGCAATTGCAGGATCTGAATCTGTAGAAGTAGGTGGTGCTTGTGCTAAAGAATGATATTAAATATTTTATTATCGAATAATGAGTTTAAAATAACTTACGTTTAAATACAGCTGGATTATTATTATTATTGGTTCGGATCGATGCTGGAGGTGGTGGTTGTGGTAAAGGTACAACACGTGAACGTGGTGCAGCTGGCTGTGGTGGTGCTGGCGAAGGAGAAGGAGCTCGTACAGGTGTTTGCTGCGGTACAGATGCAGATTGAGAAGCAATGAAAACTTCAGGTGGAATTTCACTTTCATCAATTGATTGACCAGCACGAGCAGATTGAAGTAAATCTTGAATTGTCTAAATATAAAAAACTCAAACTTTATTCAATCGAATATTAAACGATGTACTTTAAGTTGTCGATCTAAACGTCGAGATTTTGCAGCATCACCACTTGCTTTTGCCGCTGCTACAGCTTTGACATACATTGATTGACGTGCTTCGAGTACAGACACTATATTACCACTGGATGTTGCTGTTTGTGGTTGTTTTGTTCGATCATATCTTTCAGTATCAATTTCATCCGTAATTTCATTCAATTCAGCCTGTTAAATCTAATTTTTATATGAACATATTTAATCAATAAATAGCTCACAAGAAGTTCATCTTCATCAACATCAGATAATTCATCATCATTTATAGGTCGATCAATATCATGAAGAAGTTTATTTACATCGTTATGAAATGTTTGAAGATCTTGTGGCATTCCACCTACATATATAGAAGATATCTTTGATTATTCAAATCTAAAATATAGTTTATTTTTTCGAATAACAAGTCTAACTTACGTGGATCAGATTTTGATCCTCTCGATCTTTGATTGCCGTCTTCACTACCTTGTTGTAATCGTCGTAATTCGGCTTCAAGATCATCATCATTATCACCTATACCTGATTCATCGAAATTTGGTATTTGAAAACCCATCTATATTAAAGGATAAGATATAGAAAAAATAACTAACAAAAATAAATAATAATAAACCTGTTGCATAAGTGCTGCTCCACCGCCGGTTTTTCTTACTGGTTTGCTAGCTTTGCTACTTTTCGACATTCTCGTAATACGATATAAGTAAAAATGAATAAAATCAATCAATGAATAATATTAGCGTAACTATGAGTCATTTTTTCGGATTGGTTTGCAAGATAAAGCCAATCTGTTCTAAGCTAGTCGCTACTGTCTATTGATACGTTATGCTCATGTTGTTTGAAGTGAGTTTAAGTTACTGATATTAGTCAAACTCAAATTCATTCGTCCATGCTATGTTGTTTTTTCGTACATAACATAGAGAATTATCAGCAGATGTCCATAGTTGCCAAAGAGTTATTATGAAGGAAGATTACAGATGATCTTCTTAATCAGCCATTAATTTATTATTGTTTAGGAGATATTTTCTTTGAAGCTACTTTGTCATAGCATCAATACTTTTCGTATTTGTTTCTGCGACGTTGGTTTTTTTTTGCAAAAAAGTGATACATTTCTTTTCATGTTGTGATTGTGTGTGTGACATTTTCTGCAATTTTAATGAAGAAAAATTATTGTGTTATATGTAATTATAAGAACTAACTAATTTGGCATACTTTTATATACCACACGAAAGCGGTTACTATTAAAAATCAATAGTAGCAACAATGACGTGCTTTTCTTTTCACTATCGCCGTCGCGCGACAGCGGCAGATTTTCAGCCTTGATGAATGTCTCTGACAGGTTGTCATAAATATGGATAAAATACTCTACATCATCAACAATATTAAATAATCAATGACGAAGGAAATATTTAGCATGAAATCACACTATAAGATAAACTAACTATTTTTATCTAGTTTATAAGCTTGTAAGATCATATTAATAAAATTTTTTCTTATCTTTGTTCAGTAAAAATTTGAGGTTCTAAGAATTTTGATCATAGAAAAAAGGAATTATCATGCTTAGTCTTTTGCACTTTTTTCAGCGATGTTCATTGTCAGATGGATTGATACACTCATTTTCGATTTGTTTCTCAAACAAATACTGTTCAAATGAACGACACACAACAGTTAATATGAAACCGTTTAGAATGATCACACTCGTAAGCTTCGTTCGTTCATGCTTCATGCCATGTCAATGACAGTACTGGACTAACGAGGGAACCTTTCCAGATGATACCCTCCGTTTTGATTCATTCGTATCTCATTTAATCGAGTATATTGAGGTAGTAAAAAGCCTAAAGAGATTTTTCCTCAATGTTCTTTCTTCAAAAGTTATGGTCGTTTTATTGAATTTTCGACCCATTCTCAGGTATTTACGAAAAAATCAAAATAGGGAATTTCGACTTGATATTTCGCCCATAGATAGGCCCAATGGTCCTTAGAATATCGTGAAAGTTTCAGCTAAAAAGAATGTTCCTTTCTTGAGATATTGAATTTTCAAGTGAACTCGGTTTTTGTGACCAATCTGTGGCAGGTGACTATTTTTTGAAAATTCAATATCTCAAGAAAGGAACATTCTTTTTAGCTGAAACTTTCAGGATATTCTAAGGACCATTAGGCCTATCTATGGGCGAAATATCAAGTCGAAATTGCCTATTTTGATTTTTTCGTAAATACCTGGGAATGAGTCGAAAATTCAATAAAACGACCATAACTTTTGAAGAAAGAACATTAAGGAAAAATATCTTTAGGATTTTTACTACCTCAATATACTCGATTAAATGAGATACGAACGAATTAAAACGGAGGGTATCATCTGAAAAGGTTCCCTCGTAAGTTTCCTTTTGCATTTTTTCTTTCGTATTTGATAATTACTTATGAGATCTAAATATTTACTTTTCTTTTTTGTTTCACTCTGCCGTATGACTCTATAACCAACTTACGAGGAAACCTCTCGAGTAGGGATATTATGATTACATAGGGCATAGCTAGAAATGAGATGCCGTAAGTTGGCTCGGACCCAACCTGTTTCCAAGAAGAATTATATGTTGTTCAAGTTATAAGCACCATTATCAATTTTGCTCCTGAACTACAGTTTTCTTGAACGAGAGAATATGTATTCGATTTAAAATTTTATTACATCTATTCTAAGCAGTGATTTTGATCATTTGAAAGGTTTAACTCAAAAGGAGAAGGATGTTAGGAGAGAGAAATTTTTCAAAAATTTCTTATTGAAACAACCTATTCATCGTAAAAATTTAAATTTGTTCCTTCCTGTTGACATTGATCTGGAAATAAGCTTTTGGAACTAGGCGGTAATCCCTTTCTTTCCCATGCACAGGGATGTCAAAGAAGAAGAAAATGGAGTGAAAAATATTTGGAAAACGTACTAGGCGTTTGAATAAATCAAATATTATAAGTATGATAATTAATAAAAGAAAGTCTTGAATACATAACATCTTGTTGCAATAACTGCATCGAATGAATCCGAGTTGATCACATCAAGATGTGCCACAGAAATTTCGTTTAAATCTGAAACATGCTTCTGTGACTGTTCAAAAAGGTTGAGAAGCAACAGTAATATAGGCACTCTTGAACCATGTATACCGTATCATAGGCGTGTAGATCGGAGATGAAATTTGATTATGAATCAGAGATTGTAAACGGAGGATATTATTTCTTTGTACAAGATGAATATCTATTTAGTCAAGAAGAATTGTTTCGTAAGCCTTACGCTCTATTACTTTCCATTGTCTGTTGAAGAAAATGTCTAGAAACTGGGTTTTGGATGTCGTCTTCCAAGAGATCTCTAGTCGCTTGAACCCTTGCGCTGACTCGTAAAGTCCTTTACCATCTGTCTGTCCAAACCAGCTATCGGAAAAATGTAGTGGCTTGTGTGAAGGCAAGGAAGAAATGAGACACTTATCACATTAATATTCAACTAATGGTAAGGTCAAGTTACCGAATGCATTCCATGTAATGACAACATTTTTTATCCGTGAGAGCTTTACTCTAATGTAAATTATTGCTCATACAATCATCTATCTCTTTGAGACATAGATAGGCAGGATCAACAATAGTGCCACTCATACTTGTTGTCGGTTGAATTGTATAGCTATGAGTAGTTGCATTTATCGGACATACAGTAGCAAATGTTGTCTTTTCGCCGCGATCCAGCTGTTTAAAAAAAATCATAATTTATAGGGATATATAAGTCCAAGCGTCTATCTGAATGCTATCGAAACTTTTGTTATCTTGATAATCTTCCTCGAACACATATCGTGCTTATGTTTAAAATTGAAGAGCCAAGTATCTGACGCCACAAAATTATGCAATTCCGTAGTCCTGACTTTCGTATAGTCCATGGTTGACGATTTCTCTTTCCTTTTCTCTTTATATATGTGTATATATATGTGTGTGCGTCGATGTTGTCGTACATGATCTTCTATTTCAAAAGAAATCGAATAAATACATAACCTAAACTACAAATGTTATAGACATGTATAGTGAATATGTATAAATGCGATATTATTATAGCATTCATCGTCTTAAATCCATGCCGTGGACCAGATGCAAAAGACCTCGGGCTTACTCGAAATTGCGGTAGACATGGTCATCCAATAAATCAATTCTTTGTTTCTTCGTTCCTCTTTGTTCCACGTCGTCTTGGAAACGCATCATATTTGATTAATCAGTAATTCTTTTAAACATGTGTTGGACGGTTTTTCATTTATGCAGTCGTTTTCTAGTTTTGGACTTAATTGTTTCATAATAATCGAGTGTTCGTTTTATGTACGACAGAGAGAATGCCTGGAGCACCGTGTTCTCTTCATCTTTTTCTTCATAATGTGGATCATGAGATGGTTCATCAAGATCTTCCCCACACCCATCTACTTCACTGTCTGATCCATTGTGATCCAGAATTGTTTTGCCCTTTTGATTATTACGAAGTATTTGTACATATTGAGTCAAATAAATTGAATAATCGATTAGTAGTTTTAATTTTTACGATAAAGGCTGCATATGAATAAGATATTTTTGAAAACGTTCTCTCCCCTAACATTCTTGTCCTTCTGAGTTGAAGCTTTCAAATTATCAAGATCACTGCTTAGAATAGATCTAATAAAAATTTAAATCTAATACATCTTGTTTCGTTCGAGAAAACTAGGGTTCAGAAGCGAAATTGGTAATTGTGCTTATAACTTGGAAAACTCATAATTCGTTCTAGAAGCAACTTGAACTCGAATCAACTTACGATATTTCATTCCTGGTTATGCCGCTATCTAACGATTATATTCCTAATCGAGAAGCTTTTTAGCATCTCAAGAGGTTTTCTCGTAAGTGCACATTTCATCCAATCTATATCGATATAAAAGACTACCTTGCTATCAATTGATATCTTTGTTTTCTAAGATGTCATCTAATCCGATTCTGTTGTTGAATGTTCCCGCTCCAAGCAAATTCATGATTTTAATTCCATTGTTTAGAAATGCCTTACGACTGTTCTTGTGGAGTGAACTATGCTGTTGCTCAAAGCAAGTCATTCTTTAACAATTTTTTTGTTTAAGAAAAACTTCAATAGAAAGTCCTATCGATATTGGAAAAAACAAAATCCAACGATCGTCTGCCATTGGACATCTGCTGGTCAAAGCTAAATCAAAAGTAAACATGATTTCTCTCATGACAATCATCGATTCACTCGCGAGAACCAAATTAATCTTTTAAATCGAATATTCTTAGAATAGCAGAGAGATAAAGATAGATGACATCTATGATTATGAATTAATTCATTGAGCTATGATCGAACGATAAAATGGCGAGACTAAAATTGAACTATTTCACATGCAAGAAGTACAATAAAAAGAAGAAATTTTTCTCTCTTTCGCCATAGTTACGTTTCTACATTTTTACTTTTACAGTAGAGTTGAGTTACTGTATGAACGGATTAAACTACTGCTTCTTAACTATTGATTTATATGAACTGAAAACATAATACTATGCCAGATAGATGAAATTGGTATCGGTGGTCGATTGATTCTGTCTATTTTCCTATTTCAGATCAGCAGCGGAACTAGTACAAGTCGTAAAAAAGTCACACCAATTACATTTATGCTTAAACTAATACTTGTAATATGTACTTCGCAGAAGCATCACAATGCCGCCACTTTTGCACTCTGAAACCTTTCTTTATGTCATGCAGATAGAGGACAATGATTTAATGCTCAAAATATTCAAGGTTGCTAGGACACAGTTCAAACGCCAAAGAGAGTTGTTAATACTTCTGCTTGTGTGCTGGCTTCTCTCTGGATCTTGAATAAATGCTGATGGTACACATCAACGATCAATCTATGGGAGATGCTATTTTCTAGTCAGAATCAACTCTTCACGTTTGTCCATAACGATTTCTATGAACAGAGAGCAGTTAGATCAAGTAAAGTCTATCTGTTTCAACGAATAGCCATCATTGCTATTCCGTGTACCAGATCAATCTATCTTGGAAGCTATGGTTAAATGGATGATTATCTTTTTTCAGGAAAAAACTCATTAATATTTCTATGTGAAATCTCTAATCAATTGAAAATGTTTGTCTATGACACAAAAATTCATTCTGTTTAGCACAGTTACATAAAACCGAAATTGTATTTAAGTCATCGTTACCACAAGATTAGGTCATCAATAATGATATAAGTCAGAAAAATTCGTAGTCAATTGGATCGAAATAGACCGTTGAGCTAGAGACGTGTGATCAATAGAACGAACCTATAAAGAGAATGATATCGAAAAGAAAAAGAAAGTCGTTTGATGAAGCATTTGACTTATGTAATAGAGAGTATTTTCTAGTATAAACGTATTTTTTTGATCTAGTGTTTTTAATCATCAATACCTTATCACGAGCTACCTTCTTATTTTATCATTCTTCGCAGCTCGCATTTATTCATCGTCACATCGCGTGACTCTCGATAACCTTCTCCTCAGCTTTTCGTTGCTTTCCATTTCAATCGATGTCGCCCACTACTTTCTTTTCCTTGGTGTCACACTAATTCGAAAGATAATAAATAGAAGATAACGTCACATGCTTCAGTGAATTGAAAGAAAAAAACAACGACATATGTGATTAGTTATCCAGGAGAGATAATGAAGTATCTGGGCTATTTAAAGAGCAGTCAACAGCATGTTTTGCATTATCCACTCACCACATTTGTGAACAGTAGCAAACAGGGTCAATTCATTTGTGAATACAAGAAATTGCTGTGATTTTATACTTTTTGTATCGTTAAACCAAACAACGATGACTATCAAATCATACTTTGTCGATAATATCAATCACCGTCGATATCCTCTCAATGGTGTTATTCCATCGGGCCGTCAGCCGACTGAAGCACATGCCAATAAATTATTTCAGAATCGTGTCATTGTGGGTGCATTGAAACTTCCGCCCAAAGTTGATCTTCGTCCGGATATGACAACTGTCGAAAACCAATACACGGCAAATAGTTGGTATGAATCGAGCTTTTATTAATTAATCAAATACTCTCTCCTCATTTTTTCTTATTTTTAGCGTGGCAAACTCGCTTGCTGGTAAGCACTTCGAAATTAATAAAAAACAATTCATTGATTGCATTTTTCTCTAGGATCATATGAATATTTGCTCAAAAAATCCTATAGTACACAAATCGATGTTTCTCGTCTCTTCATCTATTACAATGCTCGATATCGAGATAATCCATCCGGTGAAATTACAGATAGTGGTTGTATGATTGATGAGGCCATCTCAGCGTTGTCTGAATATGGTACTTGTCTTGAATCACTTTGGCCCTATGAACTTTTAAGCGTAAACATTCAACCAAGTGCGGAAGCCTACGAATCTGCCAAATATCATACGATCGTTGATTGGCTTCAAGTGAAGATCAATCTCAAGGAAATGAAAGCGGCTCTGGCACAAGGCTATCCGTTTATATTTGGAGCGGAATTATTTAATTCATTTAGCATGGCTACTCAATCAGGTGTAGTGCCCGTACCGACGGCCACAGAAAGGAGTACGTCTCAGCACCTACAGCAGCACAGGTACAGTAGAATTTAGTCGACATTCTGATGCTCAAGATCACAAAAATAAGTGAATAGGCGACGTCGATAAATTTCGGATAATGAATTGAAAGTAAAAAAAATAGTAGAACGAATCATTGCCATCGAACACGATTCTTTTTAAAAAATATATTTCTAATCGATTTAGTCTATCACTTTGAATTTTTTAGCTACCATGCCATGTTGGCTGTTGGCTATAGTGATCGATCACAGATGTTTATTGTTCGAAATTCGTGGGGTCCGGAATGGGTAATTGAAGTCTATACAGTTTCTTTTCATTCTTTCTCAATTTGTTACCGATTTTAGGGGGATCAAGGTTACTGTTATATTCCATATGCCTATCTAGCTGATCCAAGTTTGTGTTTCGATGCATGGGTGATTCGAAAATTGGCTACAGATGACTTTAGTCAACATGGTTGGTTCTTTCAAGATACAGTTAATTTCAGAACAAAAAATAATGCCAATAACTATACTCCTGCACGTGCGGCTCAAAATAATGCAATTATTTATGTTGAAGAGCCTGATGACCATCAAGGTTTGTGTCTCTATTTTGTCTTAGATGTGTATGATAGAATCATGTTTCATTGTTTTAGAAGTAACTAATACAGCAGAAGCGCAACCTACGCTCCACAAAGAATAAATTCGAAACACCAACTTAATCAAGAAACAATCATTTATCAATCATTATACGCATACAACTAGATGACATTCTCTTTTCCTTATTTTCTATTTTTTTTCTTCTGTTTGTTCTTCTTTATTTCTCTTTCGCTGATATAATGACACGTTTTCGTTTTTGTGCTCTCTCAATCGTTACAATCAATTAAACTATACTTTTTGTAAATTTTTCTAACATGAAAGAAGAATATTCTGCACTTTTTCTCTCCTGATTCATATAATTTTTTTCTCAATAAATTTTTCTTCATTTGTTTTATCTAGAAATTACATCGATTCTCTAATTCAATTTCCTATTTGATGCTTCAATATAAGTGTGTATGTTGATGTGAATGAATCAATGTGGAGATGGAGAATAGTTGCACTCACATTCACACACACTTACAGACTATTTGATAGAGTATTGAATCTTGGAATAAAACTATATGAATTACTTTGATTCAAGATACAAACTTGAGTATGAACAGTGAAGCATATCTCATGGCTAACCCATATATAAAATTTTATAATAAGAATAAAGCTTCATAAGCAATGTGAAATAATTCAATTGGACAAAAGTTTACAAAACAAGACTCAAATTAAACACAAGAATAAAAATAAATGCTTTTTTTGAGTTTTTCTGTTTTACTAATAAAAAACCAACGATTTTTGTTATGTGCATTTTAATTTTTTGACTGCTCTACTATTTTGATTGCATGAGTCATACAATAATCTACCATGCAAAATTAATTATCAAAATCTCTAGCGATAGGTCTCCGCCTATGAACATCTTGGAAAACAAATTTTGTTTTCATTGAAAAGAGCAATATCTGAACTTCAAGTTTTGTACCAGCTGTATTTTTCCAGAAGGAATCTGAAAAGGAGGAAAAGTCAAAAACCTAACATCTCTAAAAAAGCTCCTGCAACTTTTTTGCTCTTTGAAAAATGTATGTTTCTCGATTATCTTAGGCTACATGGGCTAAGCTCTCACAAAACGATACACCAAAATGTAGCGCATGAAAACCTCCATCGATACCAATGCTATTAAAATTTTTTAAATCCATTGTTCACTCTTTAATCGAAAAAATTTTACAAGTGAAATTTTTGTAAAAAAAACTTATTCTAGGAACTTACAATCTAAAAGGATAGTGGCCGCCATTTCTAAAAGCTACGTATGAATAAAGCAATGTGTTCATATTTAAACTAGGAGAAAATTTAGCTTCCAATACACGATTAAAAAGAGCGCCCTTTAGACTACAAAATATTATCATTGAAAGTGATTTTTCATTCTCGCCCGAAACTAAAAGAATTAATAAAAATAAAAAACTGATAATGTTCGATGGCCAAGTGGCAAGAATTTTTTTTGAAAGTGTTTGGTATTTGGTTAATCCTCGTTCTCAGATTCGTTCTGGAAAAATATACCTGATAAAAAATTTAAAGTTCAGATATTGCTCTTTCTGATAAAAATAATTACTTGCCACGATGACTATAGGCGGAGAACTATGACTGGAGATGTGAGCAATTACTTTTGCATAGTAGGCTAATTAATGTTCATTGTTTAATTCAAGTTTTGGTATTGCTAGAACATAAGATAATTACTTGATTTACAATTATTTATTGTGTGATTTTGAAGATATTTATGTATTTCAATTTTTGAATTCAAGCGATTCAATAGCATTCACTAAATACTAAATTTTTCCATAACAACCATCATGTGTCATATGTCATCAATTGTACTATTTAGAAAAATAAATTAAATTTCAATTTTGTTAGCACTGATAATCATTTATTGTGTTCTTATATCGTAATGATAAGACAAGACATACACGCGATATAAGGCATCTTTCCTTTTAAAAATCTCCTTCACTGGCTCCTACTCATCATACGTTTGATTGAATTATTATAAAGATATAAAATATCTATACAGAAATCTAGGCTTTAATATTTAATTAGCTATATAAAATATACAACTTTTTAAATTTATCTAACCTCAAAATATCAATTGAATATTTCATCCCGATAAACCAAGAACATTTCAAGTGGATTATAACGCATTTCCGTCAAGCTGCTCGAAAACTACGGGTAAACCTGCTTCATTTTTTCGTTCCTTAAGTGCATGAATATTTTTAAACTCTTAGAAGAAAATTAGATTTCGATCGAAATTACGTCAGTCTATTAAAATGAGCATGCTTAAGTCACATATACCTACAACATCAGCTGTTATCACTTAATTTTTGAGTTTCATTATTAATTGAAGATGATGCCACAAAAATAGTCTTAAGCAAGAAGATTTAAACAATCGCAAAAAAAGTGTGGCACCATCTGTCACAACATACTGTGGTATATTAAATCGACTTCTTTCACTTCAAGTCGTTTTCTTCAAAACTGAAAATATTAATTTAAAAGAACGATTATATAAAAAACTTGGTAAAAGAATGGAGTCAACAGTTTAAACTGTTGGCTTTTATGAAAAATCGACGACATGGGAATTACGTTTCTAGTAAATTAATTTTGTCGAAGTCATTTGTTTTTAAGATATTTGTTGAAGATCAATTGTCTTTTGAAAGGAAAATAATAAATTTTGAAAAAGAGAAAATGTTGTCTTGCTTGATGATTTTCCATTAGCAAATAATTCTTATAAATTTTACACTAATGAGTCATCACAAAACATGAATCAATAATATTCTCGACCATAACTTTAAATTTAGGGTGGGTGTGAACGTAAATATACTATCTCTCTTCACTTCGTACCTATATTCACATCCACACTCAATATTTTAGATGGGCATAAATCCACTCAATTAGAGTGATTCATTTTCATTATCATATTAACTTTCACTTGAATCGTAATTTTATTGTGGAAATCTATTCAATATTAGCAAAGAAAGACAAAAAATATTGTCTCGAGAAGAGTATCTTTAAGATTTCTTTGTATCGCCAATGTTTTCTTCTCGATGTTTTTATATCATTTTGAAGCGCTTGAAAAGTACGATCGAACGACATGAACATAGATTTGCCACTCATTATCTTCAACAATACGGCTCAATATACATGTGACAGTCATTGATCGTGTCAATCGGTCTAAGCACACAACAAAGAAGTACTATATGACTTATTATACCCGGGTTCACTTTCGGATACTTTGTTAGATAGTTTGACGTAAAGAAAATCAAATATCTCATAGGACCAATCTTACAGCAGTTATCGGTTACCTACTTCTTGGTTTAGTTCTAGAAAAAACCCGATTTCTTTATCAAGAGAAAGATCATGGAACGAAAAATACTTCTGCATCCATCCACAATTTAGAAAACGTGTCTCGCAGGTGTGAGTGTGCTTTGTTGGTTTGCTGTGGATAAAGAGAGCATACAAGTATAGGAGGATCAATGCTGACATCCACATTCCATGAACATACAATTGCATCCCGATATCATTCATTTGAACCCTTACCTTATAAACAATTTTATATTAACTACAAAACTACCGAAAAACATTATTTCATCTTATTGAAGCTACAAATGGTTCACAATTATTTACATTAGACACTGAATCAGTATGTATTCGCAAGAACCGAAATAAGCCGGCATTTGTACAACTTCAAGTAACACAACCAAACTTATTTTCGTGTATCACTTTTGACGTACATATGAACCAACATTTAAATTGATTCAGCAATATTTTTGAATACATTATTGCATTCAAATGAAAAGGTTTACATTGGTGAACGATTGATGAATTACAGAATTTTATTGCATTCCATTGATTATCATTTGGTCAAATTTATTTATCCGAAAATAATAATTTACAAAGTGAGTTTAAAATTTATTGAAGTGAACATCATTTTCAACTGATGACAATCCAAAACATATGTGTGAAATGTGCTTGGGTATCCAACCAAATAATCCATGGTCATTACAACATACCGTAACATTTCAAAAAATTAATAAATGGTTAGATAAAAGTCGAATTCGATCACTATTTGATATAGTTCTTGATCCGACATTATTTCAACTAAATTCAAAAACAATGAAATGTTCCTATTTGACGACAATGTACGTCGATAAAAGACTGTTTATCGATGCCTCAATTTTTTCTTCGTATGAATATAATTGACTATCAACAACTGTCATCTGATTTACTAAATGAATCTGATATTATTATGTTAACAAGTTCAGATTTACCAACTTCAAATGGCTTTTTTTCCACCTAATGAACAGCGTCATTCTACCCATACATTAGACTTTATCCCGAAAAAACTTTATGATATAGAATTAATATCATGTGGTGATGATAAACCATATAAAAAACAAAAATCTCTTCAAGTCCAATAGATTCACAACATCAACAAAGATAATTATGTTTTAAATTATGGATTTAAATTCTAAAATTCTATGTTTTAATGATAGAACAAAGAACATTTATTCAAACTAACCCACATTTATTATCAACCAACAGATACAATAGCCAAAATCCATGATTTACGTTTAGTTTTTATTTCATTTAAATATATGGACTCAACTATTTTCATAGAGTCGCTAATTTCTTTGTCAACTTGTTACAGATTGTTTTCTTTGCTCATATTTTACTCGTTGTGTTTGAGATTTTTCCATCATTCTATTCATTATTATATCTCGATCTTTTCCTTTCTGAAAAACTTTGAGACATTTTTTTGTCCAACATGGCAATATGTTACAGTGATGTCGCGTGTAGACATGTTCATTATCTATGTGTTATCATGTGTCCTCTTTTCATTTCTCTTTCTTCTTGTTCTCTTTATATGCGTATATAACTCTGTAGTTTAAGTTTATTTTCCGTTCCTTCAGAAATAAAGATTGTGTGCAAGTAATGCATATATATCTTGTATAGAAAGAAAGGAAAGGGAGGAGAAGCGTAACAATTAACAAAAATAACTATTCGATTAACATTAACACAACTATTAGATAAAGATAAATTTATCATGAGAGTAATACTGATTCATGTTTCGTGACGAGCCGTTGGTCATTAATTCAAAACAGTGATTGTGTTAATGAAATATTATTTAGTAAGAAAAGTTTTTTCTTCTTCGAAGTTTAGTGTTTTTTCAAAGACAAATGATCTTCAACAAATATGAAAAAACAAATGTCTTCGATAAAATTAATTTACTAGAAATATGGTTCTCATGTAGTCAATTTTTCATCAAAACCGACGATTCGAACGATTTACTCCTTTTTTCATCAATTTTTTTTACAATCGGTCTATTATATTAATATTTTCAATCTTGAGAAATAGATTTCAAGTAAAAAAAAGTCGATTATAATATGCCACACAGACTATGTCAGATAGCGACATTCTTTTTCCGATTTTTTAAACCTTCTAGCTAATGACTCTTTTTATGGCATCATCTTTAATCAATAATCAAACTCAGATACTAAGCGATAAAAGACGATGTGAAAAGTGCAGGTAGCTTGAGCACACTCACAATATTATCACTTGATCTGCACACGAGAAGACAAACAACTTAATTCAAAAAAGTCTTGCTACTAACGTTGTTCTCAATCTAGTTGATCAATTGCTCGACGACGTCCAACAAGGATGCAGTATTACATTTGGTTATTACTTCACAGACATACAATTTTGTGAGCTCTGTGAAATCGTAAAATTGCGTCAATTGTCGTTGTCAAACACAGACGAACCGAATCGCACTCAAACAAGTAAAACTCGATTCGAGTCGATCTCTGGTCTGAAACAATTACTATCATCATGGTCTTATTTTAAAGGGTCCTACATGTTTTTATGAAATCTGGCAAAAGAAAAAAGGTTGATCATAATTTAATTTTCATTGTATAAATATCTTGAAACATTTGACGACGATAACAAAATGATCTGTGCGATAGACACGAGTATAATCAGACAAAATGTGATGTTGATATTGTTTATCAATGTATTGGTTATTATACGGTGTGACGAATCAATCGATGATTGTCAATGATAGTATTTTACAATATGATTGATCTTGTCGAAATCAATGCTATAACAATTTGGTTATGTCAAAGTGCAGAATGGAATTCGATACTTTCTCATTTCAACAGCATCAAATCGATAACTTGTTAAACATATGAAGAAAAAGATTATGAAAGACGTTGCATTCAATAAAAAAAAGCCTCAAATATGAATAACATCATCATTGCGATAAAGAAACTGAGTTTTTAGGATATTTTAATCATGAAATAGAAAAGGATAAAAATAAACATAGTTAAAGAAAAGCATTTCTTCCATTTTTATCGATAGACGATTGCAGATATCAAGATCTAGACCTTTATGTTACACAAATGAAAAGTTTGTCTAAAGTAAAAGTATTCTTTTTTGATTATTTCTATGGATGGATTCAATCGAACTTCAGGACAACAATGAAGTGTTAAGAGAAGTTTGCCATTCTCGAATTTGAATTTGAAAAATTGATTTGTTTTCGTCTAATTTCATGATCATTAAGAACATCGTCTTATTCAAGTCTTTTGCTCGTTGTCGACGATTCACTTATTGTAGGAGAATAACTTTTCTTTCCATTACTAATTCTCTATTTCCCGAAGAAATACCGTTTTATATGACTGTGGTTACTAATGCACCCGATGCAACGTTTCAGTACACATAGCAGCATGGCTTTCTATGAAAATGATAAAAATATCAAAAACTTTCGATTCGAGTATGCGTATCTACCAAATGTGTCGCATACATATACATAGAAATTTAGAATGAAGCTGATATAGTCAGAGTCATGTCTTCATCTGACCATTTTCCCAGAAAGCAACGAGCATTGTTAAATCACGATAAATATTCCATGTTTATTCGTATTAAGGTAGTGCATTTTGTCATTGATTCGCTCATTTAATTATAAGTTCTACATGCGCTTTGGTAGTATTCTCAACACAATGAAAAAGAAAAAATTGCATATAATAGCCTCTGAGTCAGTAATGAAAAAGTAAAAGCAAAATTTTGAAGGCAAGACAAGTTATATTGTAAAAGTAACAAACATTTTGTAATACATAATAGACGAATATTTCCATTCACTAAAAAACTTATATTTCAATGACGCCACGTATTCGTACAATGCTTACTAAATTATTTGGGACACCTGAGCATCGCGTGTTGATTATCGGTCTCGATGCATCAGGTAAAACAACTATTCTTTATAAATTATAACTCAATGAAACTATTCAACCCATTCCCACAATTAGTTTTAATGTCGAAACAGTGATACATAACAATACTTTTTTGACAATTTGGGATGTGAGAGGAGGATGCAATAAAATTTGTCACTTATGGCGACACTATTTTCAAAATACACAAGCTCTTATCTTTGTCATTGACTCACATGACAATACTCGACTCACAGAAGCAACAAACGAATTGTGGTGCATACTGACGGAAGACGAATTAATTCATATACCCATATTAATCTGCTTGAATAAAATTAATATACCTAATGGAATGAAACCAAAATATGTTATAGAAAAAATGAGACTGAATAGTATTAGAAATAGACAATGGTTTTTGCAACCATGTTCCGCTTGTAGGGGTGATGGCTTGTACGACGGTTTAAATTGGCTAATACACGCAGTAAAATCTTTACGTACTTCGCCGTCTAGACATACAAGCATGGAATCAAAGGTTTGCATAACTACAACAGACAATAACTATGATGAAAATAAACCATTAAAATGGTTATCTAAAATAGATGATGATACAAACGAAGAATTTATTGAAAAATTTGACAAACATCAATTATCTGTTGAAACATTCGATCATCGAACACTATTGAGAATAATATGGACTTGTTTAAAAAATTACGGTAGAAAAGAAACAGTCAAAGCAATATTTGACCATTTGAAGATCTATATCAGAGATCTAAACGAGACATTAATCTATTTTTGGATTCAGATAGTTCATTATGAATTGGCAACAACAAAAAGTTCGACAAATGATTTTAGAGACTTCTTATTAATGAATCCTCAATTACTGAACGAAATAGCATTACCTTTGAGTTATTACAAGAAAGACACATTATTTAGTAATCAAGCAAAAACAACGATTATTTTGCCAGATCTTAAACACTTGCCAAATATTTTACCAACACCGTTCGCTTCTGCTATCAATACAATAGAGAAAAATGTCAACGCGGCAAACGAGCAACAAGTGAACGAATTAGATGATGATAAATTTTTACGACAATTTGAATCATATACGTTAACGAGTTGGTCTGATAGAGCTCACTTACGTATATGGCTTGGCTTTACTTGACTCGTGATGGTCGCTGCGTAGGAATGAATAGAATATTTGAAGGCATTAAAAATTTCATTGACAATAGTCAAATAGCACGAAAGATTACATTTCACTTTACAATGACGTATTTTTGGATTCAAACGATTGATTTAGCCATTGTACAAAGTCTGAAATAGATAAACTTTGACGAATTTCTTGATCTCAATCCGCATTCGATGAACCAAAATTTATTTCTGGAATATTACAAAAAGGAAACAATATTGAATAATCTAACAGCTACACAAGAGATGGCATTGCCTGATATAAAACAATTACCAACCTTACTTACGTCCAGTAACAAAAAGTGACCATATCATTTTTGAGGGAAATATAAATTCATATAACCATGGCTTCGACACTTTATTTTGTTAAACGACCGGAGTATCAGGCAAATATCGAACTAATGTCCGTGCCGGAATGAAAGAGGGGTGGGTGTAAGGGTAATAACTCGATAACAGCAGCAGCATCAAGAGACCTGGGGTTTTCATCAATTCAAAGAGGAGAAGTCGGGACGTATTTTTCTCCGATAAAGTAGAAGACAATTCTTTTAAAACTAGTCATCTTCGAAAAACATGCAAAAAAATGTATGAAAATGACCTGTCATCAAGATGAAATTTTGATTTTGACCTTCGATGTAGATAGAGGGACTTGAGATCTATAGTGTAAGATACAATTCACTTTCTTACTTTTCATTACATTTTCATCGAAATGTCAAGCTATTATGACAAAAAGTTGAAAAACTTCGAAAAAATCAGCAAAATTTCCCACTATTTGTGCATGCAAATATATAATTCCATTTGCTCAGCGTTAGAATATAAGAAGAGAACCATTTGCATTGTATCTTGCACTATAGATGCCCAGTGCCTCTATCTAAATCGAAGGTCAAAATCAAAATTTCATCTAGATGGCAGGTCATTTTCATGCATTCTTTTGCATGTTTTTCGAAGACGATTAGTTTTAAAAGAATTGTGTCTTCTATTTTATCGGAGAGAAAGATGTTGCGACCTCTCCCCTTTGAATTGATGAAAACCGCAGATGTCTAGCTGCAACTGTTATCGATTTATTACCCTTACACCCACTCGTCTTTTATTCTGGCGCGGACAGTAGATGACTCGACTAAGGAGCATATAGGAATCTTGATGAAGGGTGTGAGTGTGGATATGAACATGGTGGTTAATTTTCTCTTCATCGATACCGATGCGCACATCCACACCCTTTTCGTTGATCTGATCCTTAATAACCTTGACTTATGATGAAAACAGATCATTAAGTCTTTTGTTTTCTCACATCCTTGATTAAAAACTACATGGAAATGCGTTATAGATAGTAACTTATCAATACTAACTGCCAAATAGAATGATAATTTTCTCAGCAAATTCTTCTTATTCAACTTCTAAGGTTTTAAAATGTGTTGCAACCATACCCTCACTTACACGAACGCTGCACAGCCACACTCACACTCACACTCACTCTGATCAATCAATTTGATAGCTGTTACTGAGTAGTAATTTTTGCTAAAATAATCATCTTAATTCTTCAGCCAACAGCACTAATCATGGTTGCCTAGTGTTCATTATGCCAAGTGAAATGTGATTGCGTATTTTTGGTGATACGCGAATTCAGAATGACTACGGACAAGAGTTTCTCAAACTTTCAACTTAGTACATTGATAGTTCTTGATGAGTGCATCTTCTGTTTTGAAAATCATATGGATTATGTGAAAAGATGTTTTCATGGGTCTTCTACATTGTATATATTCGACGTATATATAGAGATAGCCATTTTTTTATTTTAAATCAGATTCATTGATATAGGTTCATTCAGAATTCAATTCTCTTTGAAATGACTTATTAGTTTCAATAAAAAGAGGTAAAAGTTTTACTAATCAAGCTGAAACTTACAAAAGTGACTACTAATTTTGACTTCTGCAATAACTGAAAATATCATGTCAAAAAACCGTTGTTTTGTAATAAATCCCAATGGTTTGTAATTGTCTTCCGTCGATCATATACTATATGAAAAGAAGTGTTATTTTGTGATGGTGCTTGTGACTTCAAACTACAATATCTCAAACATTTGGATGCATATTCAAATAATACCAAGTTACTATAGTCTTTAGGAAATAAGTTTGAACGAATTGAATCACACTGATCTGATGAAAGTCTATGCCGAAGATATGCTACTTTTATATCAAATTAGTGAATTTTTCGGAACTCCAGTTCATAGTGAAAAGATGATATCGTACAACGATTATAAAATAAATGAGGTGAAAAGGAGTGTGGGTGCCATTATTCTTCGTCTCCAAATGAATTCACATACACCAACATCTACAATTATATTGAAGCATCAAATAGAAAATTAAATTAGAGAATCCGTTTAATTTGTAGATGAAACCAAACAGCAAGACTTTATTGAGAAAAAATTATATGTGGACAAGGACAGAAAAAAGTACAGAATATTCTTCTTCGATGTTAAAAAATGCACACAAAATATGCTACAATTGATTGTAATGATAGAGAGAATAAAAAAGAAGACGAGTCAATATATGGATGAAAGAAAAATGAAGTAGAACAAATAGAAGAAAAAGATAAATAGAAACTAAGGAAAAGAGAATGTCATATAGTTACATATATATAATGATTGATAAATAACTATCGCTTGTTTATTATCTACGAAATTATTTCTTGATTGAACTTGTGTATTGTCTTCATTGTTCACCCTGCGTAGTCTGAATTTCTGTTTTATTAGTTACTTCTAAAACAATGAAACATGATTCTATCATACACGTCTAAGAAAAAAAATAGAGAAACAAACCTTCATGATCATCAGGCTCTTCAACATGAATGATAGCATTATTTTGAGCCACATTCGAAGAAGCATAGTTATTGGCATTATTTTTTGCTCTAAGATTGGCTGTATCTTGAAAGGACCAGCCATCTCGACTAAAATCATCTGTAGCCAATTTTCGAATCACCCATGCATCGAAACACAAACTTGGATCGATTAGATAGGCATATGGAATATAACAGTATCCTTGGTTACCCTAAAATCAGTAACAAATTGAGAAAGAATGAAAAAGAACTGTATAGACTTCAGTTACCCATTCCGGTCCCCATGAATTTCGAACGATGAACACCTGCGATTGATCACTGTAGCCAACAGCCAACATGGCATGGTAGCTAAAAAATTCGAAGTAATAGACTGAATCGATTAGAAATATGTTATTTAAAAAGAATCGCGTTCTATGCCAATAGTTGGCTCTACTATTGTTTTACTTTCATTTCATTATTCAAAATTTGTCGATATCACCTGTTCACTCATTTTTGTGATCTTGAGCATCAGAATGTCGACTAAATTCTACTGTACCTGTGCTGTTGTAGTTGCCGAGCTCGTTCTCGCTCTGCAGCGGACGGCAAGGGCACTACACCTGATTGAGTAGCCATGCTAAATGAATTAAATAATTCCGCTCCAAATGTAAACGGATAGCCTTGTGCCAGAGCCGATTTCATTTCATTGAGATCGATTCTCACTTGAAGCCAATCAACGATCGTATGATTTTTCGCTGATTGATAGGCTTGCATGCTGGGTTGTATGTTTACGCGTGGAAGTTCATAGGGCCAAAGTGATTCAAGACAAGTACCATATTCGGACAATCCTCCGATTGCATGATAAATCAAACAACCGGTATCCGTTACCCTGGCCCATGGATTAGCTCGATATCGAGCATTATAATACACGAATAGCCGAGAAATATCAATTTGTGTATGGATGACTTTGTTGATCAAGTATTCGTACGCTCCTAGGAAGAAATACAATAGAAAAACTGTTGGTTATTATAAATTTCTAATTGTTTACCAGCAAGAGAGTTTGCCACGCTAGATAGGAGAAAAAAATCAGCAGAGATTATTCGATTAATAAAGAAAATTCGATTCATACCAACTATTTGCCGTCCATTGGTTTTCGACGGTTGTCATATCCGGGCGAAGATCGACGTTTGGCGGAAGTTCCGATGCTTTCAGGATGATATGGTTGTGAAACCACTCACCAGTGGCTGTTGCAATCAGCTGATTGCCTGATGGAATAACACCATTGAGAGGATATCGACGATTATTGATGTGATCGACAAAATATGTTCTGATAGGCATCGTTGCTTGGTTTAACAATACAAAAAGTATGAAATTGCCGCAATTTCTTGTATTTACAAATGAGTTGACTCTGTTTGCTGGTGTTTATAAGTGCGAGGAATGAATAATGCAAAATATGCTGCTGATTGCTCTTTAAATAGGTCGTATGTTTCATTATCTATTCTCGATAATTAATCATATGTGTCGTTCTTTTTCTTCTACATTTCACTGAAGCATCTGACATTATCTTCTATTTGTTATCTTTCTAATTACTTGCTATTTCACCAACTTCGAACTAGTGCAGCACTCAGGAAAAGAATGAAGTAAAGTACAAGTGACATCGATGGACAAAATAAGCAACAAAGAGCTGAAGAAAAAATTATCGAAGGTCACGCGATGTGGCGATGAAGGGATGCAAGATGCGAAGAATGATAAGATAAACAAGAAAGCAGCTGGCAATGACAAAGTATGATGATGAATAACGCGAGTTTTGAAAATATATCGGCACTTGAAAATACTCTCCACCATGTATGTCGAACAGTGCTCAAACAAAAGTATTTATACTTGTACTTTTCGTACTTTTTCAAGTAAAAGTAAGTGTACAAGAATTCATCAGGTGTACTTGGTATTGATAGATATTTCAAATCAGCTGATCTTGCAATATTTATGACTTGAGCTCTTTTTATTTTACACCAAAATAGAAATCTGTTCGTTTGTATATATTTATCTAAACTCTTCCTTTTGTTATTATCTGAGAGATTTATGAGAGAATAAATGGTAAAATGTTTTAAATCATCGTATTGTTGATGTTGGTGTTAAATATTTTTGTTCATTTGAGTCTATGTATCAGTAAAC